GACTAGATGACCTCCAAGGTCCCTTCCAAATTTTATTATTATTATTATTATTATTATTATTATTATTATTATTATTATTATTATTATTATTATTATGTGGTAGAACAGTGATGGCGAATCTTTTAGAGACCGAGTGCCCAAAACCTGCCCCCCGGCCCTCGTCCCTGCTCCACCCTGCCCACTGGGCCACCCATCACCTTCATGGCCCCCCACAGATCCCCCAGCCTGCCCAGCAGCCCACTCTTGCCCTGCAGCATCATCTGCACACGACGGGGCGCAAGGGCGGAATCTTGTCCCCGCTGCCCGGCTACCATGTCCTTGGCTGCGCTGCTTCGCGTGACCGGGGGTGATTCTCCTCCGGGGGGGGCTGCTGGTGAGGAGGGGGCCGTGGGAGGAGATGGGGCTGCGGAGATGGTGCGTGTGCCCACAGAGAGGGCTCCGTAAGGGTTTTCTGCCTGAGCAGGGGGTTGGACTAGAAGACCTCCAAGGTCCCTTCCAACTTTGTTATTCTATTCTGTTCTGTTCTTTCTGTTCTATTTATTTATTTATTTATGAGACTTATATACTGCTTTAAGTGCAAGAACTCTCTAAGCGGTGTACACCAGTAAGCAATGTATATATATATATATATATGTAGGTCTTTGGTTGTTTGGGTTTTCTCCCACGTAAAATTGGAAGTTGCCCCCAACAATCTGGGTCCTCATTTTACCTACCCCGGAAGGATGGAAGGCTGAGTCAACCTTGAGCCGGTGAGATTTGAACCCCTGACCTGCTGAACACAGTCAACTAAAGTGGCCTGCAGTACTGCACTCTAACTGCTGCGCCACCTCGGCTCTATTCCATTCCATTCTCCATATTCTATTTTCTATTCTATTCTTATTCTATTCTGTTCTGTTCCATTCTGTTCCGTTCCAATTCCATTCCATTTCATATATTTTATTCAGTTCTATTCTATTTTCTCTCCTCTATTCTGTATTTGATTCTATTCTCCTCTCCTCTATTCTTTATTCTATTCTATTCTAAATTCTATTCTATTCTATTCTATTCTATCCTATCCTATTCTATCCTATCCTATTCTAATTCTATTCTAAATTCTATTCTCCTTCTCTCTATTCTTTATTCTATTCTCCTCTCCTTTTTCTATTCTATTCTATTCTATTCTATTCTATTCTATTCTATTCTATTCTATTCTATTCTATTCCATATTTGTTCTGTTCTATTCTGTTCTAGTCTAGTCTACTCTACTCTATTTCTATTCTATTCTATTCCCTTCTCCATTCTCCATTCTCCATATTCTATTTTCTATTCTACTCTGTTCTGTTCCATTGCATTCCATTCAAATTCCATTCCATATATTCTATTCCAGTGGTGGGGAACCTATGGCATGCGTGCCAAAGGCGGTACTCAGAGCCCTCTCTGTCGATGAAGTCCCTCAAGGCTGCCAACCTGCTGGTCTGGCCTGGTTGCTTAGCAACCAGTGGCCTGGCCTGGCCTAGCCTGGCCTGAGCCTAGCTTGGCCCGGCCCGGCCCTGCCCTGCCCCTGATGGTCTGGCCTGGTTGCTTACCAACCAGTGGTCTGGCCTAGCCTGACCTGGCCCAGCCCTGCCCCTGCTGGTCTGGCCTGGTTGCTTAGCAACCAGTGACCTGGCCTGGCCTGAGCCTGGCCTGGCCTGGCCTGAGCCTGGCCTGGCCCTGCCCCTCATGTCCAGCCTGATTGCTTAGTAGCCGGTGATGTGGCCTGAGCCTAACCCTGACTCTGGCCCTGCTCCTGGCCTGGTTGCTTAGTAACCAGTGATGTGCTCTAGCTGGCTCTGAGCTTGGACTTGGTCTTGTCTATGGTTCCTCATACTGGTCTGCCTGGCTGCTTAGCAACCAGTGGCCTGGCCCAGCCTAGTCTAGCCTGACCTGGCCTGAGCCTGGCCCTGTCTGTTCCTGTTCCTGGTCTGACCTTGGTGCTTACGCTCCTAGGCTGGTATATCCCTGGCTTGGTCTTGGCCCAGTGGCCTGCTTGGCCATGGCCCTTGCCTTTGGCTTTCTGTTCCTGTCCCTGTTTATGGTTGCTTAGCAATCAGTCGTCTGGGCTGGCCTGCCCTGGTCATGCCTGGCCCTCTTCCTGGGCTGGAGAGGTTGCTTAGCAAACAGTGTTCTGTGGTGGCCTTTCCCTATCCCTTCACTGTCTCTGGCCGTGGCCACGGGCCAGGAGGGCCCAAACTGTTTGCTTAGCAACCAGTGATCTGTCCTAGACTGTCCTGAGCCTAGCCCTGGCTCTGACCCTGCTCTGATCTGCTCAGGCCTGGCCTGAGCCTAGCCAGGCGTGACAAAGGCCATGGCCCAGTGACCCCTTCCTGGACAGGTTGCTTAGCAACCAGTGGCCTGTGCTGGCCTGTCCCTGTCCCTAAACTTGTTCCTTGGCCCAGACTGGTTGCTTAGCAACCAGTATCCTGGGCTAAGCCTAGCCCTGGCCTGGGCTTCGCAGGGCCGAACCTTTCCCTGTCCCTGCTCCTGGCCTGGCCTGAGCCTTGCTCTGCCCGTGGTCTGCCCTGATCCTCTTCCAGGACAGGTTGCTTAGCAACCAATGATTGATCTGGCCTGGCCTGTCCCTGTGCCTATCCCTATATCTGTCCCTTGCCCTGTTCCTGGCAGTGGTCCTGTTCCTCTACTGGCCTGGCCCGGCCCTGTTGGTCTGGCCTGGTTGCTTAGCAACCAGTGGCCTGGCCTGGCCTGAGCCTAGCCTGGCCCGGCCCAGCCCTGCCCCTGATGGTCTGGCCTGGTTGCTTACCAACCAGTGGCCTGGCCTGGCCTTTCCCAGTCCCTGGCCCTGTTTTTGACCCGGATATTATATTATTATTATATTATTATATTTTATTATATTCCATTCCCATCCCATCCTCTTCTATTTCAAGAGTGTTAATACGTTCTACAACCTGCTTTTTCAACCTTGGCGACTCGAAGTTATGTGGATTTCAAATCTGGAAGAATTCTGGGAATCGTGCTCTTATATGCATCTGGGGACCCATGGATGAAGGCAGTAGTAGTAAAGTGGAAAGAAATAGAATAACATAGAATAAAAATGAATAAGTATAATAATAATAATAATGATAATGAAAGAAATCACTAAAAGTAAAATGATGTGTCTGCATAATTCCTGGAAGAAAGCAGTGTTAGCAAAAAGCTGTGTGAATGATGTAATGCATATTTAGAAACACTGTCTAAAAGTGAAACCTTCTATTCATTGTATGCCTGTGAGAAACTAACTGAAAATTATACAATGTAAGATTCCATCTATGCCCCTTTGTTCCTTAGAAAGGGAGAGCTATAAAGATTGCAGTTTGGACCCTCCTCCTTGTTCAGAAATTTGCTGATTGTTAATCACTTCTGAACCTTTGTGCAAAAATAAAACCTCTCTGTTTCAGCCTTGGAATTCGTAAAAGTCCTTTATTTTTTAAAGTTCTTTTACTTTTTCCACAAGAGTGGGGCACAGTCAGGCCCACAGTTAGAAGCAAATACAGATAGTCCTTGACTTCTGACCAAAATTGAGCCCAGTATTTCCGTTGCTAAGCATGATAGCGATGGAGTTTTGCCCTTTTCTTGCCATTGTTAAGTGAATCCTACCGTTGTTCAGTTAGTAACACGGTTGTTAAGAGAAGCTGGTTCCTCTACTGGCTTTCTTTGTCAGAAGGTCGCAAAAGAGGGATCACATGAGCCCAGGACTCTGTGGCCGTTATAAATGTGAGTCAGTTGCCAAACATCTGAATTTTGTGCAAGTTATGCACACATATAATTTAAAAAAAACAAACTAGGAGTCAACTTCGAAATAAAAGCAATCCATGTGGGCTGGAGGGATATCGATGATTATGATCATGATTTATCACTTGTTGCTTGTACATACACTGAGAGCTAACACAATGGAGACACATTCCTTGTGTGTCTACTCACACTCGGCCAATAAAGAATTTGAAATAAAGAGGTCCATAAAATGCCCAAATCTGATCTTAATTATAAGCATACATTAACCGAATCTTGCAATTTTGATCATCCTTCCGTCTCCCAAGTGCATCCTTATGCTTTTGTGAATCTACAGCTGGTCCTCGAATTACGACAACTGATCCCAAATTCTTGTGGCTAAGCGAGAGCATGAATTTCACCCTGTTTTACGTCCTTTCTTCCCCCAGTTGTTAAGGGAATCGCCGCAGTTGTTAAGTTACAAATGAGACAGCGTGAATATCACCCCGTTTTACATCCTTTCTTTCCCCAGTTGTTAAGCGAATCACCGCAGTTGTTAAATTAGGAATACGGTTGTGAAGTGAATCCGACTTTCCCCGTCTGAAGGTCGCAAAAGGGGGAATCACGTGACTCCAGGAACACTGTGACCGTCGTAAATATGAGTCAGCTGTCAAGTGTCCAAATTTTGATCACCTGATGGTGCAACGGGTGTGTGAAAAAATGATCCTTTTTTTCAGGGCCGGTGTAACTTGGAACAGTCGCTAAGCAAACAGTCTTAAGTCGAGGACTACCTCCACAAGCCCGCTCATTTCTAAAGTGATGTGGTACCTCCGTTTTCAGTACCTCCATCTAGATCAGTGGTTCTCAACCTTTTTAATGCCGCGACCCCAACCGGTCGTAAGTCGAGGACTACTGAACCGGTCGTAAGTCGAGGACGACTCAACGGGTGCAGCACCGTTTGCAGAATGGGGCTTTTGGCGGGCTCAGCAGGGCAGAGACAGCCTGGACAATTCCTATTGGCTTTTGAAAGCCAATAGAATTAGACTCTATTCAAGAGAGTCTCTTCTATTGGCTTTCAAAATCCAATAGAATAAAAGGGAGGAGCACAGCTAAGGAAAAGGGGAAAAAAATGGCGGACTGCGTTGTTTGGCGACCCCCGTGAAATGGTCGTTCGACCCCAAATGGGGTCCCGACCCACAGGTGGAGAACCACTGGTCTAGATTCTAGAACAAACCGGCAAAGAAAAGTGAGAGAATAACCAAACACCGGAGAAGCCCTTTGGATTGAAATTAAATATATTTGTGACAAAGGAGAACAGAGATACAGTCAGCTCCTCTACATGAAGGCTTGGTCTGCCCCCCCAAGGATCACAGGATGATTTACATACATGATTTTACAGGAACACGTATCGACAGCTTTTACATTCACATGGAGACACTCGCCGAGATGGTCGGATTCTCCCCTCCCCGCGATCTGGAATACGGCTCACTATTTAAATGGGCCCAGTGCTGAGATTTGGATTTATTTCGATTCGAGAATTACGTAGGATGGACACACAGAACACAGGCGGGAAACACCGAGTCCTTCTAGATATCCTCTAGGATCCCCCTTTCCGGTGGCAACGTTGGCTGGCCTTCGCAGTGAACTCCCGCCGAAGCTGCCAGTTATTCTTCCCCCATTTGCTCGATTTTTCGCGTCTCCTGGTGATGAGCTTAGGAAACAGCCAGGCGTGGGGACTACAGGAACCATGGTGCTGGGAAAAGGCTCATGAGCCTGGTAGGGCACAACCGCCCCACACCTCTATGCTGCCGCTGCTTCCCGTTTGGCAAAACTGAACAGCCCGCTGGGGAAACGGAGTCACTTCGGCAGAGGTTTTTCCAACGTTGTAACACAATTTGGTCCAGAGGGCTCTGTCGGCAAGACGAACGATCACCTTGCCAGGGTGCGGGATGAGAAATGAAGAAAGCACAACAGGCAACTCAACTTCCAGCAGGATTATTACTTTCCCCATTTGTGGGGAGAGGGTGATATCCAAGATATGATCTGGCACAAACACAGGAGGATTTCTGCAGACGTTTCGTGACCCAACTAGGGAACATCATTAGCGCTAAAACGGAAGGGGGGTTGTGGGGAAGAGGAGGACGACAACTGTGGTTTCTTCAAGATCTCTGAGCTTGGTGGTTTCCTTGCAGAGCTTTCACGACCCAACTAGTTTACATCATCAGTGTAAAGGAGTGAGGGATTTGCTTCCTTTATGTGTACAGAGGCTTGCTCTTTCAGTGTTGGTGGCAGTGTTCTTGGTGTTTCGTTAATTGAGCTCCTTGTTTACTGTTGGATTTTTGATCTGGTGTCAATCCCCGTTTATTGTGCTTTGGTCTGATTCCCTTTCTAGGTTTTCTGTCTCTTTTGAATGGCGTGTAAATGTGGTTGGCCTCTGTGTGTCTGTGGATGGCTGATTTGTCGGAAGGCCAGGCTTCTGGGAAACTCTCTAGCACAGTGGTTCTCAACCTTTTTAATGCCGCGACCCCCAACTAGTCGTAAGTCGAGGACTACTCAACCGGCCGTAAGTCGAGGACTACTCAACTGGTGCAGCACCATTTGCAGAATGGGACTTTTGGCGGGCTCAGCAGGGCAGAGACAGCCTGGACCATTCCTATTGGCTTTTGAAAGCCAACAGAATTAGACTCTATTCAAGAGAGTCTATTCTATTGGCTTTCAAAAGCCAATAGAATAAAAGGGAGGAGCACAGCTAAGGAAAAGGGGGAAAAAATGGTGGACTGCATTGTTTGGCGACCCCCATGAAATGGTCGTTCGACCCCAAATGGGGTCCCGACCCACAGGTTGAGAACCACTGCGCTAGCATTTTGCAAAGTTAAATGGCTAAAACAGAGAGCTAAACCCACTTCCCTTCTAACACTGGTGATGTTCCCTAGTTGGGTCATGAGACGTCTGCAAGGAAACCCCCACGCTCAGAGAGCACCAAAGACCCCACAGTCCTTTCTCCCCTCTGCAACCCCCCCTCTTCTTTCTAGCCCAGATTATGTTCCCTAGTTCAGAGTTCACCAACTTTTCCGGGTTGGCAGCCTGGAGGGTGGGGCTGAGAGGACCTGTGATGCTTGCGTTGAGTGCGTGACACTCATGTCAGTAGGGTTACGCACGCACGCACAACAGTCACTCATGCACCCTGATTGCAGATAGGTCACGGACCGGTACCGGGCCGCAGGCCACAAGTCGGGGACCTAGTTGAACCATGAGACGTCTGCAAGGAAACCACCAAGCTCAGAGAGTAACAAAGACCACACAATCCTCCTCCTCCTCTCCACAACCCCCCCTTCCTTCAAGCACTGATGATGTTCCCTAGTTGGGTCATGAAATGTCGGCAAGGAAACCACCAAACTCAGTGAGCACCAGGGACCCCAAAAGCCTTCCTCCTCCTTCCTTCTAGCACTGATGATGTTCCCTACTTGGGTTATGAAATGTCTGCAAGGAAACCACCAGGCTCAGAGAGCACCAAGGACCCCACAACTTTTCTCCTCCTTCCTTCTAGCACTGATGACGTTACCTAGTTGGATCACGAGATGTCTGCAAGAAAACCACCAGGCTCAGAGAGCACCAAGGACCTCACAAGCCTTCCGACACCTGTCTAAAATCAACATTTGACAAGATACCCAGATTGGAAAGTCAAAAAGTGAAATCAAGAACAGCCCCTCCCCCCTTCATCATTTTCAGTGCATTTGGTCAGGTGTGCATATTGGATCCAAAAAAACCATGCAAGGATTCACCCCCACCCTCCCCCAGGAACAAAAATATGCTGCTGGTTCCAGCTACTTTTTTGCCTTAATAGCAAAGAACAAACCAGCATAGGAAGTTGGCTTGGACGTATTTTTTCTTTCTTTCATTTTTTCTTACACAAACATCAAGGGAAGGACTGTATTTGTGTGTTTGAATGTTTTTGGCATTCCCCCCTCCCCAAAAAAATCTTATTTTACCCAATTGTCCGAGTTCCTTAGCTTACTTGTCAGCTTGATTCCATGACAAATTGTGCAGCAAATTGTAGGATGCCGTTAGGAGCGAGACTAAAAGGAGAAAACAACGAAAAAAATAATATAAAATAGAATTTATAGAGTTTCAGGGACCGAGTCAGAAATCAAACACAGCTAGGGTTGAGATAGTCACTGTAAATCAGAATTATAGGAACCGGGAAATTCGTTTCTGCATCGGTCAACCACAGACGTTTCTGGCTGCGAGTGGGGCAGTTGTGTTAGAAAACCGAGTGGATGAATGGCTGACCCTTCCACAAGCTGATTTCTGGTTTTGTTTTTTCCTTCCAAGTTCAGGATGGACCCTTTAATCCCACAAAGCTTTGTCTGAATGAGTCACAGCAGAGCTGAGTAAAATGCAAGTAGTCCTCGACTTACAACGATTCGCTTAGTGACTGTTCGGAGTTACAATGGCACTTGAAAAAAAGGGACTTCTGACCGTTTTTCACACTTACGACCGTGGCAGGATCCCCCCACAGTCACAGGATCAAAACTCAAGACACTTGGCAACCGGCTTGTATTTACGACAGTTGCAGCGTCAAAGGGGGGGGGAAGCACAATTCAATTAACAACTGTTTGACTAACTTAACTCCAGCAATTCGCTTAACAAATGTGGCAAGAGAAGTCATAAAATGGGGGGAAAACTCACTTAATAAATTTATCAACAGCATCAAAATTCTGAGTTCAGTCACAGTCGTCGTAAGTCGAGGATTACCTCTAATGAATCGGTTCCCCAAATTGCACTGAGATTGCTAAGCCGTGGGAAACGAGGCAGCTGCTTTAAAGAGCCACCGGGTTACCTTCAGCTGCTGAAGCAGATCAGAGTTAATTTCACAGCACAACCGCTGGTTTGGCAAGATGTTACTTTTTTGGATGCTAGTTTCATCTCGGTTTATCGAACATCCAAGATGAAAGTCAATTCTGAAAGCGAAGGACGGGAAATCTATCCCGAATTTTGGCTGTAAGCGGGCAAACTGCAAATTAAAGACAATTTTCTCAATGGGACGTTCATTATAACCCAGATGGTCCCTATGCAGGTTCATATTGTTAAGTACTTATGGGTGGTGTAGTCCACCCCAACAATTGGGGACCACGTTAGAGAAGGCTCTTTATCCAACCCAGCCAACTTTCTCCAGAGGTGCTTCGACAAGTCTTGTTTTCTCGGTTGAGAAAACGGTGGAAGGTGCTAGAAATCCATACGCTGATGCCGAATGCTAGTCGGGGTGGTGGGGCACCAGACACACAGAGACGAAAGGTATTTTGCTAGTCATTGTAGTGTTTTTCACATTCAGAGCGGAAGGAAGGTCCTTACCAGCTTTGGAAGGAGATGAGGAACAGGATGAAAGAAGGAGGAGGAGGAAGAGGAAGGGAGGGAGTGTGTGGAAGTGGAGAGGGAGGGGCAGGAGGAAGAGAGGAAGGAGGGGGACCAGGGGAGGGAGGGGGAGGAGGAGAGGGAGAGAAGGGGGAAAAGGAAGAATAGGAGAGGGAGGGGAAGAGGAAAGGGAGGAGAAAAAGAGGGAAAGGGAGAGAAGGTGGAAGAGAGGGAGAGAGCAGAGGAGACAAAGGAGATGAGGGGAGAGGGGAGGAGAAGGAGGGGAGGGAGAGTAGGAGAGAGAGAAGGGAGGAGGGGGAGGAGAGGGAGGGGAGGAGGAGGAGAGGGAAAAGCAGAGAGGATGAGAGGAGGGGGAAGAGGAGAGAGAGGAAGGACGAGGAGAGGAAAAGGAAGAGAGGGAGAGAGGAGGTGGAAGGAGGAGAGGGAGGTGGGGTAAGCAGAGAAGGGGAGGAGAGAGAAGGGGGAGGAGTGGGAGGGGAGTAGGAGGAGAGGGAGAGGGAGGAGAGGGAGAGAGAGGAGGGGGAGAGGGGGAAGGGGAGAGGGAGGGTGACTAGAAGGAGAGGGAGAGAAGGGGAGGAAGAGAGTAAGGGGAGAGGGAATAGTAGTAGTAGAAGAGAGGGGGAGGAGAAGGAAAAGGAGAGGGAAGGGGAGGATGGGAGGGGGGAGAAAGAAGAGAAGATTGAACTGATTGCTATTAACAGCGATACTTGTCATGTTCGCCTCCTTCCTAACCCATCACACTCCCCTCCCACGTAACCACAAAGCCCCAGGCAACTGTCTCCCCCCCCAGAGAAGAGTGAGCAGCTTTCCTTCACCCCTCCTCCCCCCACTGCAAACACTTTGGATTGACCCAACTCCGTGGGACTCCCCCCAGGACGCCTCGTGGACGGCCGACGGAGGCGTTTGTGGGCCTCACCTCAAGCACCCGGAAACCATGCGGACCCACCGTTCTTCCGCAGCTCGTTCTCTACGGCTTGCATGCAATGCACGGGGGGGGGGACCCCGGCCTCTGCCCTCAAATGGTCATCAGTGGGACGCAGCCCACCCCCACTCCACCTTCGTGGCACACCATGGGCGCCACGAACGTCCAGCGCTGGGCTTCCGGGTCGTACACTTCGACCGAGCTGAGGTTGGACTGTCCGTCGTAGCCGCCCACGGCATACAGACAGCCGCGGTTGGCCACCAGGGATAGGCGGCTCCGCCGGGTGTTCATGGGCACCAGGAGGTGCCACTGATCGGCCGCCGAATTGTAGACCTCGGCGACGCTGAGGACGGCTGAGCCGTCGTAGCCGCCGCAGACGAAGAGCTTGCCGCCGAGAGAGGCGGCTCCGTGCCGGCACCGCTTGTTCGACATGCTGGCCGCGCTGTGCCACGAGGCGGTGTACGGATTGTAGAATTCCACCTGGAAGCAGGGACAAGAGCACCGGTCAGCCAAGGAGAGCTGGACGGAAAGCCGGAAATGACCCAAGGGCCAATAGGAAACGGGGTGGGCCACTTTGAGACCAGACAAGGCCTCAGACGCAGATCGGAAGAAAGACTGAATTACGTACGTCTTCACGCCCTGCCTTCCTTATTGATACATAATTCGGGGTAGCGAACATCTCTAATACGCCTTCCGTCGCCTATATTCGCTGAAGAGCAACTCTGTGAGGTGGGTTGGGCTGAGAGAGCATGACTGGAACTAGAACTTCCAATCTCCTGGGGACTGGCCCACAGTCATCCAGCCGGCTTTCATGCATAAGGTGGGACTAGAACTCACTGTCTCCTGGTGATTGGCCCAAAGTCACCCAGTTGGTTTTCATGCATAAGGTGGGTGTAGAACTCCCCGTCTCCTGGTGATTGGCCCAAAGTCAACTGGCTTTCATGCCTAAGGTGGGACTACAACTCACCCTCTCCTGGTGATTGGCCCAAAGTCACCCAGCTGGCTTTCATGCATAAATTGGGACTAGAACTCACAGCCTCTTGGTGACTGGCCCAAAGTCACCCAGCCGGCTTTCATGCCTAAGGCAGGACTAGAACTCACCGTCTCCTGGTGATTGGCCCAACGTCATCAACGGCTTTCATGTCTAAAACAGGACTAGATCTCCCCATTTATAACTAACCCCTAAATAAATAATAAACAACAGAATAACGTTACACTACTTAATAAACACGTTTGCTTTAACGCCTCAGTTGCAGAAATTTATGAAAACTGGAACCACAACAGCTTCATCCTTTGGAGAAATGCTGGTTTTTAACAGAATAACACAGTTGGAAGGGACCTTGGAGGTCTTCTAGTCCAGCCCCCTAGTCAAGCAGGAGACCTTTACAGAATCATAGAACGACAGAGCTCGCAGGGACCTTTGAGGTCATCTAGTTCAGCCCCCTGCTCCATCAGGAGATCCTATACCATATACTATACTCTTCCTAAAAACCTCCAATGTTGGAGCACCCACAATTTCTGCAAGCAGTGATTATTGGGCCAGGCCAGAAATAAACCATAGTCCAAACCCGGACTTACGCTGTTGAAGATTTGCAAGCCATCATGTCCGCCAGAGACAAAGATGCGGCCTTCAAAGACGGTGACGCCGGCTGCGCTGCGATTGGAGCTCATGGGCGTCACCACCGTCCACCTTCAGAAGGGTCAGCAAAAGGAGAAGTCAAGGGGAAGTTGCCTTAGTGGCACACACGTTTCACAAAAGGCATTCGGGAATACTCACTGGTCTGTCTCGGGCGAATAGGCCTCCACCGAGTTCAGGGAAGAGGTGCCGTCGTAGCCCCCACAAACGTAGATCTGTTCGTCTAAGACTACGGTTCCCATCGCACTGAAATAGGACAGAAAGCAGAGTGTTCAGAATGACTGACTTTATCGGCACACTTTAAACCAGGGTGGCTCAACCTTGGCGAATTTAAGAGGGGTGGGCTTCGACTCCCAGAATCCCCCAGCCAGCATGCATTGAGAGGGAAGGGCTTCCACTCCCAGAATCTCCCCCCCCCCGGCACGCTTTAAGAGGGGTGGACTTCGGCTCCCAGAATCCCCTGGCTGGCATGCTTTAAGAGGGGAGGGCTTCATCTCCCAGAATCTCCCAGCCAGCATACCAACCCCCCCCACACCCACCTCCGTTTGCTGTTCATGCTGCCCACCCTGGACCAAGAGTCGGTCTCAGGGTTGTACACTTCCACGGTGCTCAGCCGCCACTGCCCGTCGTATCCTCCAATGGCGTACAAGAGTCCGTTCAGCACGGCCACGCCCACACGGCTGCGGGCCGTCATCATGGGCTGGCACTTCTCCCACTGATTGGCCACGGGATCGAAGACCTCCACCACGTTCAGGGAGTCTCCTGCATAGAAGTTCGCTGCTGGCGTTTTAAAAAGCGATCGGCAAACCTGCCCTTTTACGTAACTGTTATTAACTCTCTAAAAGAAGAATGCCTTATCGGCAGTCCTCTACTTATGACAAAATGGAGGCTCAAAATTTCCCTGGTTAAGCGAGACAGTCTTTGACCTACGACGAAAATTGATGCCCACCTTTCTGTCGGTAAGCAAGACTGGCAGTTCTAGTCCTGCCTTAGGGATGAAAGCCGGTTGGGGGACTTTGGGCCAATCACCAGGAGACGGGGAGTTCTAATCCCGCCTTAGGCCTGAAAGCCGGTTGGGGGACTTTGGGCCAATCACCAGGAGACGGTGAGTTCTAGTCCCGCCTTAGGCCTGAAAGCCAGCTGGGTGACTTTGGGCCAATTACCAGGAAGCTGGGAGTTCTAGTCCCGCCTTAGGGATGAAAGCTGGTTGGGAGATTTTGGGCCAATCCACCAGGAAGCTGGGAGTTCTAGTCCCAATTTATATATGAAAGTTCTAGTCCTAGTTTTTATCCAAAACTGATGTTCACTTCCAGATCTTGAGAAAAACACAAAAACACCCCATTAAGATGTCCTCAATGGCTGCAGCATTCACTTAATGACAGCAGATCATGGTGATTCACTTAGCGACTACTGCTGCTGCAAAAAAAAAAGTCACTAAACTCAGATTGATCCAGGGAGAAGCTGTTTTAGGAATGTCATGACTGAAGACCTTAACTGGCAGGTTTTGTTAACGGTCGTAAATTGAGGATTACCTGTCTGGGGGTGTGTGTGTGTGACGGGGGACGGAATTGAAAGTTACCTGCCGAGTTGAGTCCTCCCACGGCGTAGATCAGGTCTGCGATGGACGTGCAAGAACGCGGCCGTGTCTTGAAAGGGAGGAGAGGCGGACGGCACTCTGGCATCAGGTGGAAGTCTTTGGCTTCGTCCACGAGGTCCCTAAGACAGAATAAGAGATTTGCAAGGGACTTCGGAGGTCATCTAGTCTGACCCCCTGCGCAGGCAGGCAGATCTTTACAGAATCACAGAATTGGAAAGCACCTCGGAGATTATCTAGTCCATCCCACCTGCTCGAGCAGGAGACCCTTACAGAATAACAAGAGTTGGAAGGGACCTTGGAGGTCATCTAGTCCAACCCCCTGATTGTCCCATTCCGGACAAATGGCTGTCCAGTCTCTTCTTCAAAAGCTCCAGTGAGGAAGCAAAGAAGAAAGCTGAGCCAAATAGATGAATAAAATTCTTGTGCTGCCTTCATAAAACCTTAGGCGGAACCCTTGAGATCATCAAGGCCAACCCCTATATACCATGCAGAAATAAGATTAAAGCATCCATGAGGATGAAAATGGGTGCCTTCTGATTTAAAATACAAAGATCCAAATTTAGAAAGACCAGCATTTCATTGTATACGAAATGCTGGTCTTTTAAAATTTGCATTGGCCACAACTGAGCCCAAAATTTCTGTGGCTAAGTGAGACAGTTGCCAAGGGAGTTTTGCTACCCATTTTACGACCTTTCTTGCCACCGCTGTTAAGTGAATCACTGCAGTTGTGAAGTTAGTCACGTGGTTGTGAAGTAAATCCGGCTTCCCCCGTTGAGTTTGCTTGTCAGAAGGTCGCAAAAGGGGATCACGTGACGCCAGGGACGGTGTGACCGTCGTAAGTATGAGTCAGCTACCAAGCACCCGAATACAAATCACGTGACCGTGGGGGAAACATGAAAAATGGTCACAACTCATTTTCAATGCCACTGTAAGTTCAAATGGTCACTAAATGAATTGTTGCAAGATGAGGACTACCTGTATACAAATATACTGTATGCTAAGAAGTAAATATAGCATATAATATTTGCTATCTATACCGTACAACATGTACGAAACGCTTCTATCCTCCCATAGTTTGCCTTGAAATAATTTCTTAACGCATCCAGATCGTGTTCAGTTTTGCATTTTTGAAAGACTGCTGCTTTTATTGCTGAGGGGATTTTAATAGCGATTTCAATAGCAAATTATTTTAATATTTTAACAGCGCAGTAGCAAGTAATAGCCACACCAACGCCACGAAAAACGCAGCAGGAGCACACAACCCTGAAATGCCGAATGCCTTCCATTTTAAATCAAGGCCCCTGAATTATTTATTTAGCCCACGTCAACCATGGCGAGAATTCCAGCAGAGCAACACGGGAAATCTTCAGCAAAGGAGTCCAAAAGGGAAACCGAGGCACACGATTCCCACAGCTGACCCTGGGCGAAAAAACCCAGAGCGTTCGAAGCAAACCAAAGGCTCAAGGAGTTGTAAAGTGGAAGGAAATTTGTTCACGTTCCCCATCAGTTCGGTTTCAGAATTATAGGCCCAAACTGCACTCGGAGGCCAGTGGGGCCCGGCTGATGGAGGAGACCTCGAGTGATTGGTCAAAAATACGGGCAGTCCTCGACTTACGATCACGATTCAGCCCAACATTTGCGTTGCTAAGCGAGACAGTTGTGAAGTGAGATTTTCCCCTATTTGATGACCTTCCTGGCTATGATTGTGAAGGGAATTAGTGCAGTTGTTAAACTAGGAACCCGGTCGTTAAGTAAATCTGGGATCAAGGACCTACCAGTATGGTGTACTGGGAAGAACACTAACAGGGCCACAAGATCCTCCCTCCCCTCCTCCCTCTTCCTTCTTCCCTCTCTTCCTCCATCACTCCCTCCCTTTCTTCCTTTGTCCCTCCCTCCCTTCCCCTTTTCTTCCGTCTGTCCCTCCCTTTCTCCATTTCCTCTCTCCCTTCCTCCCTCCCCCACCTTTCCTTCCTCCCTTCATCTCCTTCCTTTTTTCTTCTGTCCATTCCTCCCTTCCTCCATTTCCTCCCTCCCTTTCTTCTTTTCTCCTTCCCTCCCTTCCCCTTTCCTTCTTCCCTCCCTTCCCCTTTTCTTCCGTCTGTCCCTCCCTTTCTCCATTTCCTCTCTCCCTTCCTCCCTCCCCCACCTTTCCTTCCTCCCTTCATCTCCTTCCTTTTTTCTTCTGTCCATTCCTCCCTTCCTCCATTTCCTCCCTCCCTTTCTTCTTTTCTCCTTCCCTCCCTTCCCCTTTCCTTCTTCCCTCCCTTCCCCTTTTCTTCCGTCTGTCCCTCCCTTTCTCCATTTCCTCTCTCCCTTCCTCCCTCCCCCACCTTTCCTTCCTCCCTCCCTCCCTTTCCCTTTCCTCCCTCCCTTCATCTCCTTCCTTTTTTCTTCTGTCCATTCCTCCCTTCCTCCATTTCCTCCCTCCCTTTCTTCTTTTCTCCTTCCCTCCCTTCCCCTTTCCTTCTTCCCTCCCTTCCCCTTTCTTTCCCTTTTTTCTTCCTTCGGTCCGTCCCTCCCTCCATTTCCTCCCTCCCTTCTTCTTCCTTGCTTCCTCCCTTTCTTCCTCATCTTTCCCTTTTTCTTCTGTCCATCCCTCCCTTCCTCCATTTCCTCCCTCTTCCTCCCTCCCTCCCACTGCCCCTCTCACCCCGGGTGACCCTGGCCGGGGTAAACCACAAAAACGCCTCTTTCCCCCTGCCTGCTGGGTTCTGAGGCCTTCCCACTGGGGGGGCTTCCCCGCCCCATTTCCCCCCCCCCCCGCCTCACCTGCACTTGGGGCATCCGCGGACCAGCTCGTCCTGCTGCACGCGGCCCGTCAGGAAGGGCGGCCGGCAGAGGGGCAGGCGGATTCTGGACAGGAGCTCCGGCAGGCAGCCTTCTCGGGGTCCCCGGTCGTACCTCACCCAGGCCAGGGCGGCTTCGTAGACCTGTGGGCAGGGGGGGGGAGAGACAGAGAGAGCGGGAAGGGTCAGCGCCCAGGGGCCGCTCTCTGCTCATGCAGCTCACACCGGGCACCCGGATTCGATCTCGGGAGGGGAGGGAAGGACCTTCGGGGAAGCACAGGGTGGCCCACGACTTACGGCCATCATTCGGCCCCAATATTCATGTCGCTAAGTGAGACATTGGCTAAGTGAGCTTTCTGGCCACAGTGAATCACAGCAGTCCCTAGTCACACGGTCGTTAAGCGAATCCGACTTCCCCAGGGAATTTTCTTTTTTTTTTTTTCACAAATGTTATTTATAATACAGTTAAAAACAAACATTGGATTTGACGTGACATTCCAGTATATACATCAGATTATTCCACTTTTTAACAATCGATTCTTCATCTCTACGTATACACCTACGTTTTATATACAATACTTGTTCTAAAATAACATATATTTCTATCTTAACGTTCATCTTTAATCCCGACCGTCCTCTTCAAATTCCTCCAGTGGTAAAATTTATCCCAGGTTTCATAGTAAACTGATCCACACTTGTCTTTTAATATCATTGTGTTATAGTAATAGCAATAGTAGTAAAGTTGGAAGGGACCTTGGAGGTCATCTAGTCCAACCCCCTGTGAGCCTATCCATTTCCGCACATGCTAATATTTTATGTATTAACTGTGGGAATTTCCTTGCTCTTCCATTTTTGCGCAAAGGCAAGCCTAGCTGCAGTCAGGATGTGTAGCAGCAGGTGGATTGTTCCCTTGTCGTATTTTTCTGTTGTTATTCCCCAGGGAATTTTCTTGTCAGACGGTCACAAGAGGGGATTGCATGACATCCCCCCCCCCCGGGACACAGCGACCATTGTAAATATGAACCAGTTGCCAAGGGAATGCTGTAATGGTCATAAGTGCGAGGATCAGTCATAAGTCACTGTCTTAAGCGGTCTTGTATTTTTGAATACTTGCTAAACAAATGGAGGTAAGCTGTAAGTAATTGAGCATGAGAGAATTTATGCTTTTGGGTCCAAAGAGGCTTTAAAGTGTTCAAGTAGTCCTCAACTTACAACAGTTCGCTTAGTGACCGTTACAATGGCACTGAAAAAAGTGAATTATGACCGTTTTTCATACTTACAACCGTTCTAGCATCCCCACATTCTGGCAATCCAAATTCAAATGCTCAGCAACGGACTCGTATTTACGACGGTCACAGAGTCTCGGGATCACGTGATCCCCTTTAGCGACCTTCTGACGAGCAGAGTCAATGAGGGGAAGCCAGATTCACTTAATGACCGCGTTACTAACTTCACAACCGCAGTGATCCGCTTAACTATGGCAAGGAAGGTCATAAAACCAGGCAGGATTCATTATTAAATGGGGCGCAGCTCGCTTTACAACCGCCTCACTTAGTAGTAGAAATCTGGGGCTTAGTTGCAGCTGTACGTTGAGGACTGCCTGTGTTTTCTACCATCCCTTTAAGACTTTCAGCTTTGTCAAGGTTTATTTTTCCTCCGTAATCAATTGTCCCACACCTTACATCCCCCTCAGTTGTTGTTCTTGTGTTGAAGGCAACATTTTGTCGTCACCCCCCCCCCCACACACACACACACACCCTGGTGGCAGCTGGCAGGACCAAGGAAGAATGAACTATGCCGATTACAGGAAATTCTCTTTATTTTGGGAGGTTTGGAATAAACCCAGCGTCTTGGAAAGCGCAAGGGGAATTTCCCAGACTGGTTTATAATGTGCTAATTGTGTTAAAAAGTGTTTCCCAGTTCTTCCTTCTCTGGTTTCCCACCCATCTGGGCTTAGTCAAGGTTTATAAAATCAGTAAGAAACCAAGTTCCTCTTTGATTCCTGATTTGCTTTTTCTGTTCTCCCTTCCGTCGTCTTCTCGCAAGTCCAGGAAGTCCTTGATTAGTCCTCAACTTACAACCACAGCTGCTACTGAACAAGGCAGTTGCTCAGTGAGTTTGGCCCCCATCTTACAACTTCTCTTTCCACCGCTGCGGTTGTTGAATTAATAAGAGGGCTGTTCAGTGGATCTGCCTTCCTGTTTGTCAGGCGGTCGCAAAAAAAGGGGATCACATAACCCCAGGACCGTCATAAACACGAGTCAGTTGCCAAGTGCCCGGATTTTGACCACTTGACTGTGGAGAGGCTGCAACGGTCATTAAGTGTGAAAAAAAAATGACATAAACCGCCTTTTGCAGTGCTGTACTGTTATGACTTCAGATGGTCACTAAATGAAATGCTGTATGTCGAGGACTACCTGTAAATCTTGTGCCGGGGGAATTCCAGTCTCCCGAGGGATCCCAACTCTTCCAAATGTATGAAAACAGACTTCAACAGATCCTCCAGATCTGCAGTGATCCTGTTGCTATTGGTGTCACCACCAAGTTGGTCCCTCAAGCCAGTCCCATCCGGTGGCTATTAGCTTCTGGGGCTTCGTTTACTGACAGGTCATCCTCAACCTATGACCACAATGGAGCCCAAAACTGCTAGACAACACAGTTAAGTGAATTTTGTCCCCACTTCATGACATTTCTGGGCAATGTCGTCCAGTGAATCACTGCAGTCATTAAGCTAGTCGTTAAATGAATCCGGGCTTCCCCCGCTGGCTCTGCTCGTCACAAGGTCGCCAAAAGGAGTCACGCGACTCCGGGAAGCTGCAACCGTCGTAAACAGGAGCCGGTTGCCAAATGGCTGAATTTCGATCCCGCGAACCACGGGGACACTGGAGCGGCCGTAAAGTGTGAAAAACGGCCGTAGGTCCCCTTTTTTTGGTGGCGTTGTAGCTTCGAATGGCCACTAAAGAAAACGGTTGCAGTTGCGTGCTCGGTTACCCCCCCCCCAAAAAATAACGAAAAGCAAGGGGGGGGCGGGGGGTCCTACCTGCTCCTCCGTCTTCACGTGGAGCTCGTCCCTCGAGAGCAGCTCCAGCACGTCCTCCAAGGGCAGAGCCAGGAACTCCTCCAGCATGGAGACCTCCACGAAGTGCTGGTGGACGAAGTTGTTGGCGGCCTCGTACAGGACGGCGCACATCATGGCCTCCGCGAACTGGCGCACGCCCAGGCAGTTCTTGGGGTGGAGCCTTCGAACGGAAGGGAGGTGAGCGGGACCAGCGGGAAACGTCCGGCCCACCCAGGTCTAACCCCCGAATCCAGATTTGCAAGGAGAGGGCAGAGGCAGTCTTGCACAGTGGGTATCCGCAGAGATCAGGCTAAATTGCCCCCCCTACACACAGAGACACACACACAGGCACACACACACCAAGGGAACTGGGCTGTGATTTATTCCCATGAGGCACAGATACTAGTACGGCCGGAGGAACGCGGCTACAGTAAAAGCGTCCCTTGAAGTGAGATCTCCTCTTGGTCTCCTTTCCAAAGGCTTAACTGGGTTGACCTGCTTTCTTTCCCATGAAGAGAAAGCCCAGGCTGCTGTTGCAATGTGTGGATGGCCTTGGGGGATGTAGGGAAGAGAAGGTGCCTAGGAAACAATCAGATAAGGGAGGCAGCAGCCCTCGGTCACTTAACGGTCAGAGGAAGAAATGAAGAAGGACCGGTCCTAATGGATCAATCAGATAAGGGAGGGAGGAGCCCTCCTCGGTCACTTAACGGTCAGTTTTCCTGCTCAGAGAGGACTGGCTGGCACATGCCCTTTGGTCCTAAGGTTTCATTCGGGGAACACAATGGTGGCAACACCAGCTTTGCCAAAACCGGCAATCTCCTTCCAGTTTTTGACAAACTATTACAAACCACTGATCTGTTTAGCGACCACCATGAAAAGGGGGCAAAATATAACTGTCCCGCTTTACGACAGCCACAACCACGATGGGCATAATACCAATAATACCAATTTCCTTTGCCATCCCGGGGAATTGGAATTTCAAAAATAGACGGGATGACCATTGAACCGGGATGGTAGAAGGCAGTGATGGTGAACCTTTTAGAGACCAAATGCCCCAAAACTGGCTCCACCCTGCTCCACCCCCCCACCCTGTCCCCCACCCCGCCTGCCCGCAGGGCCACTCACCGCCTCCAGGGCCCGCCACAGATCGTCCAGGCAGCCCAGCAGTGCCATGGCAGCCACACCCTCTGCCCGCGCCCCCCAGCATCAACTGTGCACAATGGGGTGTGAGGGCAGAGTTTTGTCTACGCTGCCTGGCTGCCATGTGCTTGGCTGCGCTGCTCTGCATGGGCCATGCTCGGGGGCAACTCTCCTCCAGGGGGGCTGCTGGTGAGGAGGGGGGTCGTGTGGGGAGGTGAGGCTGGGGCAACGGCACGTGTGCCCACAGAGAGGCTCTGAGTGCCGCCTCTGGCACACGTGCCATAGTTTCGCCACTACTGGCATAAGGCCTTCTGCCTTGAGCATGGGGCTGGACTAGAGGACCTCCACTGTCCCTTCAAGCCCTGGAATTCTACGTCCAGACTTTTGGCACTCACCTCTCTTTGAGGAAGGAGCAACACGCATCCTTGATGTTCTGCAGCTGCAGGAAACTGGCGCCCATCAACAAAGACTGGACATTTTGCTGGTCAATGGCTAAATGTCCGTTGTAGGCAAAATTGATCAGAGCTTCCAGTGCGCTAAATGGGGCCAAGAGGAGCCGGCGGTTATTTCTATTGATTGATTTATTAATCAAATTTGTTTATAACTGCCCACTCTATCTAAAATGACTCACAGAAGTGCACAGATATCCAATTTAGCCACCCAAGTCATCCAAAATATACGTGTCACCACAGAATTCAGACTTCTTGGTTAAATTGGAGGCCCTTGCAAGATGCTAGATCAGCGGTTCTCATTTGGGGTCGATGGATCATTTCACAGGGGTCGCCAATCAAGGCTGTCCGCCATTTTTTTCCCCTTTTCTGGCGGGTGCCTTACCTCCCTTGGGCTGGGCCAGCTGGTGGCCCAGCTTGTGGTCGGCCTGCTCCGTCTCTGCCGCTTGCCAGCTACGCCTCGGCCGGCGCAGGGGGCGGCACCAGGCATGTGCGGCGCTCCTGGGCAGGGAAAGTCCTCGACTTACGGCCGGTTGGGTAGTCCTCGACTTACAACCGGTTGGGTAGTCCTCGACCTACGACCGGTTTAGTACTCGACTTACGACCAGTTGGGGGTCGCGGCATTAAAAAGGTTGAGAACCACTGTTCTAGATGTTTGTAAGCGGCACATCATGTTTCTAGTTCTCAAGGAAGTACAAATAAAGTAGAAAACCAATGCTGCTGCCTATGGAACGCATACCCTCCGCCCCCAAAAAGCTGGTAGTCAAAAATCTTCTGTAATTGCCAGTTATCTCTTACGTAGGAAATTCGGAGGAGGAGGAGGAGGAGGAGGAGGAGGAGGAGGAGGAGGAGGAGGAGGAGGAGGAGGAGGAGGAGGAGAACTGTGGAGTGCTGTCTGAGATTTAGGGTTTTCTTGCAGACGTTTCATGACACAACTAGGTAACGTCATCAGTGCTGAAACGAAGTTGAAGAAGCAAACCAGGTTCCTTTCTGGCACTGAAGTTACATAGTTGGGTCGTGAAATGTCTGCAAGAAAACAACGACTTCAGAGAGCACCAAGGACCCCCCAGTTTTGATTGTCCCCCCAAGAAATCACCCTCCCTTTTAACATTGAAGATGTTACCTGGTTGGGTCTTGAAATGTCTGAAAGAAAGCAATCAAGCTCAGAGAGTACCCGGGACCCCACAGTCTTCTTCCCCCTTCTCCTCTTCCTCCCCCTCCTCTCTAAAACACCCTCTAGCACTGATGGTGTTCCCTAGTTGGGTCATGAAACGTCTGCAAGAAAACCACCCAATCTTAGAGAGAGCATCAAGGATCCCACAGTCCTTTCTTCTCTTCCTCCTCCCTTCTAGCACTGATGAAGTTCCCTAGTTGGGTCATGAAATGTCTGCAAGGAAACCACCCAGCTCAGAGAGCACCAATAAACTAAATAAATTTGGCCCAAGGGGGGGGGGATGTAATGACCTCAAGCCCCCCCCCCCAAATCCTCTGCTTTACCTGGGGTCCATGCCCTGCATGACAATTTCATCCTGCTTGCACTCCATCATATCGTTCGTGAACATGGCGTGGAAATAAGGAATGGAGGCGGCCAGGACGATCCGATGCGCGCTGAATTTGTGATCGCCAACCTAAACAGGAGCAGGAGGAGACGAGAATCAATTCTTCGACTCGTAGCTAAGCCTCGTTTTGTCTGCCAGCTCTTCCAAGTTTTTTTGTTTTTAATTTAAAAAAAATGACCTTCTCAATCCTGGAGAATGGAAAACCTTGGCACGTCTGTGTCTTTTTTTCTTTTTGGAAACAATGGAGATTGCTTTGCCCTGATTTTCTTTATGGCTTCTTTTTTTCTAAATTTCTGTCTGGGTTTTTGGGGTGGGCTCTCTCCCAACTGCTGCCCACACCTGACCCAGCTTAGCTTAGCCAAGGTTGACCAAGTGCTGTAGAGTGCCAAGACGCTTTGACTGGAAAAAAAAATCTTATTTTTGCTGGAGAAAGTTTGCCCAGAGATTAAATTGCTTTCTCCAACAGGCCAGCCTGAATTTGGGTTAAATTTGTCTGATTTAAATTTCAGTTTGTAGGAAGGAAAATAAGATTAAAAAAACAAACAAACAGAATGTTCAAAATGCAAAAGTTTGTAGCAGAGTTTATAATCTGGCCCAGTCACAGATTCATACAGCCCGACTTAAAATGCATACAGATAGTCCTCTATTTGCAACCATTCATTTAGTGACAGTTCAAAGTTACGACGGCAGTGAAAAAAGTGACATGACCAGTTTTCCACACTTAGGATGGTTGCAGCATCCCCATGGTCATGTGATCAAAATTCAGGGCTCAGCAACTGACTCGTATTTATGACGGTCACAGTGTCCCAGAATCACGTGATCCCTTTTGCGACCCACTGACAAGCAAAGTCAATGGGGGGGGGGGAAAACCAGATTCATTTAACAACCGTGTGACTAACTTAACAACTGCAGTGATTCTCTTAACAAGTGTGGCAAGAAAGGTCTTAAAATGGGGCAAAACTCATTTCGCAAATGTCTCACTTAGCAACAGAAAATTTGTGGTCGTAAGTCGAGGACGATGTGTAACTTGCCTTTTCCAGGTCACTCTGAGCTCATGTCATGGCCGAAAGAATAATTATTCTCTCATAATTCTGATTTTGTTTTGCAGCGATGTCGTCAGAATTGGTTTGTCACCTTTAGTATATTTTAAATATGTTTCATTAAATGAATCCCTTTTTTGGCAGAAGTTACTGCAATTCTCTCCTCTCAAAGCTTTTATATCTCAAGGCCAATTTTCTAAGAAGGACATCTTTTGGGTTATTATACTAACAAAAGCAAAATTATGTTGCCAGTTACGAAATGTTCAAGGGAATCACTGTAACTGCAGTCGTGGCCATACACCACTCAGGAGCCCTATACCCCCCCCCTCCCGGTGGTCCTGCAGCCCCCCTGGGGCCAAATGACACAGGAAGGATGTGATGTCGGCTGCCATGTTTCCTCTCCCTAAGCAGGAGAAAACGCAGCAAGGCAAAAGGGTGGGAGAAGAGAACGGGGAGGGGGGGTGCAGGGGGGTTGGTCCAGCAAAGTTCATATCGCTCTGGGTTCTTCAACCATTCAGGCTCACAGAAAAGGCTTGGCAGGACCCACAGAAGAGAACGTTTTAGCTCAGAACTGAACTGGATGCTTGGTGCTTTCCTTGCAGACATTTCATGACCCAACTAGGGGACGTCATCAATGCTCGAAGGGAGGGGGGTTTGGAGAGAGCAGGAAGAGGGGCATGGGGGAGGAGGAGGAGGAGGAGGAGGAGGAGGAGGAGGAGGAGGAGGAAAAGGAGGAGGAGAGAAAAAGGACTGTGGGGTCCTTGGTGGTCTCTGAACTGGGTGGTTTCCTTGCAGACATCTCATGACCCAATAGGGAACATCATCAGGGCTAGAAGGAGGGGCGTTTAAAGAGAGCAGGAAGAGGGGGACAAGGGGGAGGAGGAGGGGGAGGACTGTGCGGTACTTGGTGGTCTCTGAGCTTGGTGGTTTTTCTTGAAGTCCAACACAGGAACCACTAAGAACATTGAAAAGGAAACTATTCATAGATAAACAGACAGCAAAACCGCCTCCCTTCTTGCACTGATGGCGTTCCCTAGTTGGGTCATGAAACGTCTGCAAGGAAACTACCAAGCTCAGAGAGCACCAAGGACCCCACTTTCCTTCCTTCCTTCCTTCCTTCCTTCCTTCCTTCCTTCCTTCCTTCCTTCCTTCCTTCCTTCCTTCCTTCCTTCCTTTCTTCCTTCCTTCGTCCTCCTCCTCCTCCCTTCCAGCACTGATGACGTTCCCTAGTTGGGTCATTAGATGTCTCATCCCCCTCCTCCTCCTCTTCTTTCTCCATGATGAGATATCTGCAAGAAAACCAAGCTCAGACAGCACCAAGAACCCCACTGTTCAACCTCAGGCTACAAATATTCTCTTCCGTCAATATCGGTGGGGCTTCTGCTGTCTCCTGAACTTAAAACGTGCTTCCAAAATCAGACGAACCGTCCCCGATTTTTCAGGCCTCGTCCAGGATCTTGTGCTGCTGCTGCAGGCAAGCATTTATGAGCCAGGGAAGGAGAAACGGAGCCCAACAGGAGCTATTTATGCCCGGAAAAGTAGAGCTATCCTAAAACTGCCCGCTGAATCAGAATTGACAAGAGTGTCCTCTCTCAAGGAGAAGTGCCCCATTTAGTTCAGCCAAGTCAGGATTTAACTAACAACAAAGTGAAACGCTGAGCACACAATACAGTCAAAGGCTGGGGGTGGCCTTTGAATGGGGGTGGGGGTGGGGTGGGGGAGAATGAAATCTCTTTGAAGCAGTGTTTCTCAACCTTGACCATTTTAAGGCATGTGGACTTCAACTCCCAGAATTCCACAGCCAGCATTGCTGGCTGTGGAATTCTGGGAGTTGAAGTCCACATGCCTTAAAATGGTCAAGGTTGAGAAATACTGCGTTTGGAGCATTTGCTGACGGATGCCAAATGAGGTTGGTCTACAAGAGATCAGCCTAGACCAGGCTTAGGCTGCGATTCTTAGGGCCCTCAGCCAGCAGAGAGAGTCTCTGGTGAGAAGAAAAATCGTCACAATCTGGAACACTGGACACAACTCAGCAAGGCTATTTTGTCAACGGAGGTCAAGGCAAAGGAACCGAGTCAGAAAAATCGAAGGGACAAAGATAAGAAGGACCACAATGAGCGGCAATTTGATGCAGTGGTGCTAGCCTAGAAAACCAGGAGACGCTGAGTTCTAGTCCGGCCTTAGCCATGAAAGCCAGCTGGGTGACTTTGGGCCAATCACCAGGAGACGGAGAGTTCTAGTCCTGCCTTAGACATGAAAGCCAGGTGGGTAACATTGGGCCAATCACCAGGAGATGGTGAGTTCTAGTCCTTAGCCATGAAAGCCACTGGGTGACTTTGGGCCAATCACCCAGGTAGCTGGGAGTTCTAGTCCCGCCTTAGGGATGAAAGCCGGTTGGGTGACTTTGGGCTATCACCAGAAGACTGGGAGTTCTAGTTCCGCCTTAAGGATGAAAGCTGGCTGGGTGACTTTGGGCCAATCACCAGAAGGCTTTGAGTTCTAGTCCCGCCTTAGACATGAAAGCCAGGTGGGTAACATTGGGCCAATCACCAGGAGATAGTGAGTTCTAGTCCTTAGCCATGAAAGCCACTGGGTGACTTTGGGCCAATCACCAGGTAGCTGGGAGTTCTAGTCCCGCCTTAGGGATGAAAGCCGGTTGGGTGACTTTGGGCTATCACCAGAAGACTGGGAGTTCTAGTTCCGCCTTAAGGATGAAAGCTGGCTGGGTGACTTTGGGCCAATCACCAGAAGGCTTTGAGTTCTAGTCCCGCCTTAGGCATGAAAGCTGGCTGGGTGACTTTGGGCCAATCACCAGGAGATGGGGAGTTCTAGTCCTGTCTTAGCCATGAAACCCAGCTGGGTGATTTTGGGCCAATCACCAGGAGACTGGGAGTTCTAGTCTTGCTTTAAGCAGGAAAGCCGGCTGGGTGACTTTGGGCCACTTGTGATCTCTCCACCCAATTCACCTCACAGTCTTGTTCTTTGGGGGGGGGGGGGAAGAGAAGAAGCAAGCATTAGATGCGATCTCTGCTTTGAGCTGATCAAAATATATAAAAAAACAGTTGGGACAAATTCATGAGGAGCAGCAACAGGTGCTAGGTGCCCCGTGAATCAAAGCTCAAGAGGAACGAAAAATATTATGCAACTGCCAAAAAAAAAATAAAAAATAGATCCAATCCTAGCCAGCGTCACAAATATAATTCCTCTTCACATCCAGAACATCAGAGCCAGTTCTTGGAAATGCATCTTAGAGAGGATGTTAACAAGCCATTTTAGAAAGGATATTGAACAAGGAAGTCTCTAGGCAGAAATTAGATATTTTTAGCCTGGAGAAAACTGCAAAAAGACATGAAAATTGAAGGGCTGAAGACACGGCAGACTCATTTTGTGTTGTTGTAGAAGACAACACACACACACACACATCCAAAGCCAAGGAACTACACATGGTCCTCAATGTACGACCACAACTGAGCCCAAACTTTCACTAAGTAAGACTGTTAAGTAGGTTCTGCCCCATTTTACAACTTTTCTTGCCACAGTTGTTAAGTAAATCGCTGCAGCTGTTAAGTTGGGAACACGGTTGCTAAGTGAATCTGGCTTCCCCCATTGACCTTGCTCATCAGAAGGTCGCAAAAGGGGATCACGTGACCCCCGGGAGACACTGCGACGGTCATAAATATGAGTCAGTTGTCTGAATTCTGATCACGTGACCAGGGGGATACTCCAATGGCTGTTAAACGTTCCTAAGTCATTTTTTTTCAGGGCCGTTGTAACTTGGAATGGTCACTAAATGAACTGTTGTAAGTTGAGGACTACCTTTATAAGGTTCAAAATGCAAGGAAGGAGATTTCAGCTGAATGACCAGCAAGAGAGACCAAAAACTTGATATGAGGAAGCCCTGCTGGAATTGGGTATGCCTGATTTAAAGCAAAGAAGGACCAGGGGGTGACATGATAGGAGTCTTCCAATATTTGAGGGGGCTGCCACAAAGAGGAGGGGGTGTCCACCTATTCTCCAAAGCACCAGAAAACAAGAAACAATGGATGGAAACTCATCCAGGAGAGAAGCAACCTGGAACGAAGGAAAAACTTCCTAACAGTGAGGACAATTAACCAGTGGAACAGTTTGCCACCAGAGGTTGTGGGTGCTCTATCACTGGAGATTTTCGAGAAGAGTCTGGACAGCCACTTGTCTGAAATGGAATAGGTTATCCTGCTTGAGCAGGGGGTTGGACTAGAAGACCTGCGAGGTCCCTTCCAACTCTGCTATTCTGTTCTGGCGGGAGTTGCTGGAAAGTCCTAAACAGAGGCTGGAGGATATCATGGTGGAAATGGGGCTGGCCTAGGCCAGGAGTAGGCCACCTTGGCTCTTTTATGACTCGTGGACTTCAACTCCCAGAATTCCTGAGCCAGCCATGCTGAGGGGAAAGGGAGAGGTTTCCAAGCTGAGCCAGGCTGGCTCAGGAATCTGGGAGTTGAAGTCCACGAGTCATAAAAGAGCCAAGGTGGCCTACCCCTGAGTTACTGGGAAGATGAGGGGACCAACTCCCAGAATTCCTCTGCCAGCATGGCACCCTATACCAGGAATAGGCAAGCTTCAACTCCCAGAATTCCTGAGCCAGCCATGCTGAGGGGAAAGGGAAAGTTTCCAAGCTGAGCCATGCTGGCTCAGGAATTCTGGGAGTTGAAGTCCACCAGTCATAAAAGAGCCAAGGTGGCCTATTTCTGATATAGGGTGCCATGCTAGCAGAGGAATTCTGGGAGTTGAAGTCCCCTCATCTTCCTAGTAACTTAGGGATAGGCATCCTTGGCTCTTTTATGACTCGTGGACTTCAACTCCCAGAATTCCTGAGCCAGCCATGCTGAGGGGAAAGGGAGAGTTTCCAAGCTGAGCCAGGCTGGCTCAGGAATTCTGGGAGTTGAAGTCCACGAGTCATAAAAGAGCCAAGGTGGGCTACCCCTGGCCTAGATGACCTCTCAAGTCCATTCCAATCCTTTTATTTTCTGATTTTATGAAAGGGTTTATGCCTCACCTTTTTCGGTAGATTGAGGGCGTCACCGGAAACAAAATAATAGTGTAACATCATCATGGAAAACAAAATGGCCTCCTGATGAAGCGTAGAAGCTGTTTGTTGCTAACAGACCTTAATGCTGCATTAAGAAGCAGCGATGGCTACTTGTGTAGACAATAAAGGAATTCTGGAGGCTGAAAATAAGAATTACGGGAAACGGTCTGCTTTGGGGTTTCTTAGAAACATTTAGCTGCTAGGAAGAAATTTGTTGGACTAATGGAATAATGTCTTCTTCACTTGTGCAGAATCTCCCTCCTAGCACTGATGATGTTACCTAGTTGGGTCATGAAACATTTGCAAGAGTTCTCCTCCTCCTCCTCCAACATCAATATCCATGAAGATTCTCAGTCCTCCACCTCACGGCTGTCCCAAAGGTGTTTTTTCAGGAGGCAACTGGACTTTCTTGTTTTCCATTTGAAGACGTTTTGCTTCTCATCCCAGAAGCTTCTTCAGCTCTGACCGGATGGAGGGGAAAGGAAGGATTTATACTCCTTGCAGACAGCTGGTCATTTGCATGCTTTTACAGAGTTGTTAAGACCACTTGGAGCTTTACCTGAGTGGTGCAAATGGGTGATCTATCTACCTCCAGTCTACAACACAGTCCTTTCAGCAATTTCAAGAAGGTTCCACACCCCTTTGCACCACTCAGGGGATCCTGAGGACACAGAAAAACCTCCAAGTGGCCTCAACGACCCTCTAAAAGAAGGCAAACGACCAGCTATCTACAAGGAGTATAAACCTTTCCATTCCCCCCCCCAATCCAGTCAGAGCTGAAGAAGCTTCTTGGATGAGAAGCAAAACATCTTCAAAAGAAACGCAAGAAAGTCCAGTTGCCTCGTGGAAAAAGCACCTTTGGGGTATCCTCCTCCTCTTCCTGACGTTCCCTAGTTGGGTCATGAAACCTCTGCAAGAAAAAACAACAAGGACTGCACAGTAAGAGAAACCCAGATAAGCAAGGATTAATCCTAGACATCAGTGGAGGAAAAAACAATACTCTAATCAAGGAAATACCAAGAGGCGGGAAAAAAAGCACATTCCCAATAACATTGCCGGACAAACCGGTTTACGTATATAAACAGAGAGCACTAATGTTAGCCAGCTAGGTCACAAAATGTCTGCAAGGAAACAACCAAACTCAAAGAGTGCCAAAGGCCCAAAAATTGTCCTCCTCCACCACTCAGCAAACCGCACTCCCTCTAGTACTGAAGATGCTACCTAGCTTAGTAATGAAATCAGCCAATCTCAGAGAACACAATTCTCCTCCTCCTCCTCCTCCACTCTGCAACACCCCCCCAGCACTGATATTACCTAGTTCAGGAGTAGGCCACCTTGGCTCCTTTATGACTCGTGGACTTCAACTCCCAGAATTCCTGAGCCAGCCTGGCTCAGCTTGGAAACTCTCCCTTTCCCCTCAGCATGGCTGGCTCAGGAATTCTGGGAGTTGAAGTCCACCAGTCATGAAAGAGCCAAGGTGGCCTACCTCTGGCCTAGGCCTAGGCCGCTTTATGACTTATGGATTTCAATTCCCAGAATTCCTGAGCCAGCCTGGCTCAGCTGGAAATCTCTCCCTTTCCCCTCAGCATGGCTGGCTCAGAATTCTGGGAGTTGAAGTCCACCAGTCATCAAAGAGCCAAGGTGTCCTACCTCTGGCCTAGGCCGCTTTATGACTCGTGGACTTCAATTCCCAGAATTCCTGAGCCAGCCTGGCTCAGCATGGAAGCCTCTCCCTTTCCCCTCAGTCATGAAAGAGCCAAGGTGGCTTACCCCTGGGCTAGTTGGTCCATGAAACCTCTGCAAGGAAACAGCCACTTTCAGAGAGCATGAAGGACCCCACAGTCCTCCTCCTTGTCCTCTCCTCCTCCTCTTCCTCCTCCCTCTTCTTCCCTCTTTTCTTTCCCCTCCTCCTTCTCCTTCCCCTTCTCCCATTCCCCAAACTCCTCCTAGCACTGATGTTGTTGCTAGCTGGGCCGTGAAATGTCTGCCAAGAAAACAGACAAACTCAGACAGCACCAAGGACTGTCCCCCAATTCAACCCTAATCTCCGAATATTCTCTTCCGTTGGAAGAATAATTTTCTACCATTGGAGGATTTGAAACACAATGTAAATCTTTGATAGGCGATATTGGAAAAATCGTACCACGGTGCCCATCCCGCCAAGCCCCCCTTGTTACTCTGGTGTAGTCAACAGCCCGACAAGCAGCAAGTATTCTTTTTGTGAATCTTTTCACTTCTTGGAAGATTATCTTATGTGCAAAGTGGAGACAGGGCACCACATGCTGAGCTGCAATTAAAATCTAATTTTCACAGACTCTCTCCAAGAATATATAAAAACCAGGATATAATTATCAGACATGTTTACCGTCAAGCTGTTAAAGCTCCATAAAGGACCCCGCTACGCATTCTTCAGAGATTGTGCGATGCATTCTTAAGAGATTTGTGTGATGCACAGTGCACAACGCTATGCCAAAGGGGCCTCACCCAATATTTGGGGCATTAATCATCTCGACGGTGACATCATGCCCAGAATGACACAGGGAAAGGAAGGTGCCGGATACAGAATTTTAACTGGCAAAGGCTGAAAAAGGAAAACCTCTGGATATAGATAGTCCTCGGCTTAACAACGGTTTATTTAGTGATTGTTTGAAATTACGACAACACTAAGTAACTTTTGACCATTTTCACACTTAACGACCATCACAGCATCCCTGTGATCATGTGATCACAATTCAGACACTTGGCAGCTGACTCATAGTTTTGACGATCGCTGTGTCCCAGGGTCACATGATCCCCTTCTGTGACCTTGTTACAAGCAAAATCAACAAGGAAGCTAGATCCACTTAACAACCAGGTTTACTAACTTAAGAACTGCAGCGATCCACTTAACAACCAAGGCAAGAAAGGTCATAAAATGGGGCAAAAGTCACTTAACAAATATCTTACTTACTAACAGAAATTTGGTACTCAAATTTGGTACTCGTAAGTTTGAGGACTGCCTGCCCAGATATTTCTTTTATAATTTCCCAATTTTCACACGGAACAGCATCCTAAACAGATGGGTCATTGTGCAGCAGGTAGGACAAGGTATATATTAGTAGAAAATTGTTTAATTTGGTTCTGCCAGGTGTTTTCTATTTAACCTCCTAACATCATCCTACAAATAACCTTGTTGGCCAAGCTTCAAGATTTGAAGTTCCATAAATTTGTGACGTTTTCAGCCAAAGCCAATTATTCTCTCTCTGTACAATTATACTAAAGGGGGGGTCCTTGACTTACAATTTTCCACTGCCAGACAGCTGCTAAGTGAGCTGAGGCTCATTGTATGACTTTTTCCCATCGTTGTTAATCACTGTGTTTGTTAAGTCAGTCACACGGTTGTTAAGTGAATCTGACGTCTCCCACTGACTTGTCAGAAGGTCACAAAAGGAGATTACATGACCCCAGGGACGCTGCGACCGTCATAAGTGATAAGTCAGTTGCCAAGAGTCTGAATTTTGATCATGTGACCATGGTAGACGCTGCAACGGTCGTAAGTGTGAAAAATCGTCATAAGTCAATTTTTTCAGTGCTTCGGTTGCTCAATGGATGAGTTGTAAGTCAAGGACAGCCTGTGCGCTTCTATTCCTCTGCTTTTACAGACAAAACCTTGCAGGAAAGGATTGATTTATTTGGTCAATTTATACAGCTGCCTGCTTCTTGTATGTGAGTCTGAGAGACAGCACCTGCTGAAAACACAACCACAACACAAAAAATCTGATCCAAGACGCAACCACCGAAATTACCTAAAGCCACCCAGAGCTTTGTGTGGTCTCTTCTGTAGTCCCAGAGGTTAGAAGGTAACCTAGGGTCCCTCCTGCCCCCCCCCCTCCATCCATGGGGGTCTCCCCCACCTCCTGTTTGCAAATCCCCCTCCCTTCTAGCCATGATGGTGTTTCCTAGATGGGTCATGAGACGTCTGCAAGGAAGCCACCCAGCTCAGAGAGCACCCAGGACCCCCACAGTCCTTCCTCCTCCTCCTCTTCCTCCCTTCAAGTCCTGATGACATTGCCCAGTTGGGTCAAGAAACATCTCAAGAAAGCAACCAACCTCACAGAGCACCAAAGATCTCACAAACCACCTCCTCATCCCCATTCTCCTCCTGTCCTCCGCTTTTCCTCGTCCCCCTTTCTACAAATCCCCCCTCCCTCTAGCCCTGATGGTGTTCCCTAGTTGGGTCATGAGGAAACCACCCAGCTCAGAGAGCTCCAAGGACCCCACAGTCCTTCCTCCTCCTCCTCCCCCTTCCTCATTTCTTCCCTCCTCCTCCCTCCCTGGCTTTTCTCTCCTCCCTGTCCCCCTCCCTCATTTCTCCTCCTCCTCCCCCCTCTCCTTCTCCTCCTTCCTCTCCCTCTTCTCCACCTTCCCTCCCTCATTTCTCCTCCCTCCCCCTCCTCCCATCCCATTTCTCCTCCTCCCATCCTCATTCTTTCCCCTCTCCTCTCCGTCCCCCTCCCTCGTTTCTCCTCCTTCCTCCCCCACCTTCTCCTCCTTTCCTCCCCCTCCCCCTCCCCCATTTCTCTCCCTTCCCTTTCTCCCTCTCTCCGTCCTCCCCCTCTCCTCCCCCTCCGCATGTCTCTTCCTCCCCCTCCCTCATTTCTCCCCCTTTCCCCCTCCTCAGCCCCCGCACACCCCCTCCCATTTAGTACTGATATGATCTTCCCTGGTTGGGTCATGAAAGCTCAGGGAGCAGCAGCGACCCCAAGGGAAGCTCCACTCCCGGATATTGTACGTCGATCAGGTTCTTGGCGGAGAAGGAGGGAAGTCTAGGAGCGCCCCAAAGGTCATCCAAAAGGTCCCCCCGCCCCACTTTACCTCTAATCCCTCCCTATCCAGCCCCTCCTTCTTTCTCCCCTCCCTCCTGTCAATCACACAAGCACCCAACGCCCCCCCCGCGCCCACCTTGAGGGTCACGTCGCATAGCTTCCCCTGCCGCCGGATCTCGCCCATCACCCCGTAGCCGCGGCTGGGCAGGTCGCCCACCGAGAAGTGCACCAGGTCCTCCGGGTCCAGCTCCGGGTCCGGCCCGGCCGCCTCCAGCATCTCGTCGGCTTCCACGCCAAGCCCGGCTCGGAAGGGACTTCTCTCGCTCGCTCGACGCCGCGGTTTGGCTCCGCCCGGCCACCGTCGCCGCGCCGCCGGGAGACCACCAGACCGGAAACCGGCCAGGCCCCGCCCCGTTTTCCGCCCGCGCTGAGCGGAAGCCCCCGTCGCCGCAGCAACAGAGCCGCCGGATGGAGCCGTCGCTGGGGCAACGGCGTGGTTCGCGCATGCGCCGTTGCTCCTCACTCCCCTGAGAGCCGGAGCCGGAGCCGAGGCGGCCTTTTTCCCGAGAGGATGGCGGCGGGCCTCCCTCGGCCGTCGCCTGGGAGCGGGCCCCGCTAGGTCGCAAGGGCGGATGGCGGCTCCCGACAGGAAGGCCTCGAGCCAGGGTAGGGGGCAGAAGCACCCCGCGCCGCCCCCCTCCCTCCGGGTGCCCCAAATGAGTCTGGGGGCGCGTGGGGGGAGGGGAGAGCCGCTCCTGGCTTCGTCTCTCCTTTGGCCTCGGAGGGAATCTCGGAGGCAGAAAAGCCTGAATCTCCCGCCCTTTTCCTTCTCTCTGGAGGCCTCTGCGGTTCCTGGGGATTTGGGGGCGGGGGGGTATTTTTTCTCCTCTTTTTGGCAGCCATGCCCTTCTCTAATCTCTGGATTTGGGGGGGGGGTTTGATTGTAACCGGCCCAGAGTCTGCCTCCATCCATTTATCTATCTATCTATCTATCTATCTATCTATCTATCCATCATCTATTTATCATCTCTGTCATCTATTTATCTGTCTATCACCTACATCCATTACACGTCTGTTATCCTACCTAGCCAGTCAGTCGTATATGTCTATTATCCTATCTGTCTATCCCTCCATCATACATACCTATTATCCCATCCATCTTTATCTATTCCATTTATCTAATCTATCCATCCATCCATCCATCTTACAAATCTATTATCCTGCCTCCATCCATCATACTTGCCTATTATTGCATCCATCCATCCATATCTATTTTATCTATCTAATCTATTCATCCATCTTATCCCATCCACCCATCCCTATATTATTCCATCTATCTATTCTGTTCATCCATCCATCCATCTTACATGTCTATTATCCTGTCTATCCATCATACATGCCTGTTATCCCATCCATCCATCCATATCTATCTATTCCATCTATCTATCTATTCATCCATCCATTTTATCTATCTATCCTATCATCATTATTATTATGAAGGAGAAGAAGAAGAACTAGAAGTAGTAGTAGTAGTAGTAGTAGTAGTAGTAGTAGTAGTAGTAGTAAGGGACCTTGGAGGTCTTCAACCCCCTGTTCAGGCAGAAAACCCTACACCATTTCAGACAAATGGTTGTCCAGTCTCTTCTTAAAAGCTTCCAGTGTTGGAGCATTCACCACTTCTGGAGGCAGGTTGTTCCACTGGTTAATTGTTCTCACTGTCAGGAAGTTTCTCCTTAGTTCCCGATTGCTTCTCTCCTTGATTAGTTTCCATCCGTTGCTTCTTGTCCTGCCTTCAGGTGCTTTGGAAAATAGCTTAATTCCCTCTTCTTTATGGCAGCCCCTGAGATATTGGTTGATTGTTCTCAGGAAATTTCTCCTTAGTTCTAGGTTGCTTATAGATAGATCTAATCTATTTATTCATCCATCCATCAATTTTACATGTCTATTATCTGTCTGTCCATACATGCCTATTATCCCATCCTCCATCCATCCATCCATTGTATATGTTTATTTTATCTCATCTATTTATCTCTGCCTACCTACCTACTTGCCTACCAATCATTGTCTTTATTAGTTATCTATATTGTCATATTGATCTATCAGCTGCCTATATTAATTTATATTGCATCTATCTTATCTATCACCTCCATCTATTGCATCTACCTTTCACATCTATCTGTTATCTGTTATCTATCAAATCTGTCTTTCGCATCTATCATTTATGGCATCTTTTGAATCTAAATTACATTCTGTCTTTTTACTCTATTATCTATTTATTGCATCTATCACATTTACCTTTTGCATCTGTCATTATCTTTTACCTATCTCTATTAATTATCTATTCTGTCATTGATCTATCATCTATCGCATCTTTCATTATCTGTTTCTAGCTGTCTATTAATTATCTGTATTCTTGATCTATCTGTCATCTATCACATCTTTCTAATTACATCATTCATATCTATCTGACATTATGCATTATCTATCCATATACGTCACATTTAAAAATTTCCCAAATCCCTCACAGGAGAACTCTGGACAGTATACAGTTAAGATGTTAAAAACATAAAAGCTGAATATAAAAGTTAAAAGAGAGGCAAGGCTAGATAAAATTCCACATTACAAAGCTAAGGAAGGAGTTAACAGGGCACTGATTGGGAATTGAGTAGACTATAAATTATATTACTGAATAAATAAAAATGTTTGTCTCTGAAATTAGTACACAGAATCCTCAACGTACATCCACAATTTAGCCCCAAATTTTTGTTGTTAATCGAGATATGTAGGGAGTTTTGCTCCATTTTTTACAACCTTTCTGGCCACAGTTGTTAAGTGAATCAATGCAATAATTCACTTAACAACTGGCAAGAAAGGTCCTGAAATGGGACAAACCTCACTTTACGACTGCCTTGCTTAGCAATGGAAATTTTGGGTTCAATTGGGGTCATAAGTTGAGGACAGCCTGAGTGCCTTTTTCAAAGCAATATGATTGTATCTTGAGGTAAGATGGGTGGCCTATAAATTTTATAAAGAAACAAACCCTCTGAGTGCAGTCAAAGGAATTCAGTCCTTACAGGTAGTCCTCAAGTTACAACTGCAATGGAGCCCAAATTTTTTGTTTTTAAGTGAAACATCTGTTAAGTGAATTTCATCCCATGTTACGCCGTTTCTTGCCACAAGACAGTGAACCCTTCCAGTCGTTCAGCTAGTGACATGGTTGACTTTGCTTGTCAGAGCGTCACCAGAGGGGATCACGTGACCCTGGGACACTGACCGTCATAAATACACGTCAGTAGCCAAGCGTCTGAATTTTGATCACGTGGCCGTGGGGGTGCTGCAGCGGTCATAAGTATTGACACATGGTGCTAAGTCACTTGTTTCAGGGCCGTTGTAACTGAACGGTCACTAAATGAACTGTTGTAAGTCGAGGACTGCCTGCAAATGATGTCGGATGTCGTGGCGTTGGAGGGAATCCACCTCTTTTTCCCTCCTCTCCAGAATTCATGGCAACGTGCCTCAATCCGAAGAAAGTAAAGGCGTTCGCCCGGGTCAAGCCCACGGCCGACTTCCCTCAAGATGTCCTCAGATTTGGGGCCGACAACAAGGTAAACAAAAGCATTAAAACGGGAAAGGCTCCCGTCAGTCCCTCCTCCCTCGGTGAAATGGACGAGTCTTAAGGCGGGACTCGCACGGCTTCCCTTCCCAGACCATCGAGGTTCACATCGAGCGGGATCGTTCTAAAGGCATCATCAACAACAAGCAGATGGACTGGACTTTTAAGCTGGACGGCGTCTTCCACAACGCGCCCCAGGACGTGGTTTACGACGCGGTCGCCAAAGAGCTCGTCTCGCAGGCCCTGAACGGCTACAACGGTAAACCGTTCATGATTGCTGTTGACAGGGTTACAAGAGCTGGAAGGGGCCTTAGAGGTCATCTAGTTCTAGTCTGGCCCCCCACTCAAGGAAGGGAACCCTTACAGAATCATAGAATGACAAGAGTTGGAAGGGACCTCAGAGGTCATCTAGTCCAACCCCCCCCCTCGTTCAAGCAGGAGATCCCTACAGAATCATAGAATGACAAGAGTTGGAAGGGAGTTCGCAGGTCATATAGTCTAAACCCCCTACTTAAGCAGGAAATTCTTTACTATTTCAGACAAATGGCTGTGTAGCATCTTCTTAAAGATCTCCAGTGATGGAGCACCCTCAACTCCAGTTAGTAGCACCGTCTCAGTTCAGAAGAAGCAAGGGGCCCTTCATGGTAGAGGCCCTCCCCCATCTCCAGATCATTCAATACAAGAGAGCATGACGTGGACCCCCAACTCCTCAACTCGAGCAGGAGAATCTATCCCAGGGGTAGGCCACCTTGGCTCTTTTATGACTCGTGGACTTCAACTCCCAGAATTCCTGAGCTAGCATGGCTCAGCATGGAAACCTCTCCATTTCCCCTTCTCCTGGATGGCTCAGGAATTCTGGGAGTTGAAGTCCACGACTGAGAACCTCCAGTGATGGAGCACCCAGAACTTCTGGAGCAGTGGTTCTCAACCTGTGGGTCGGGACCCCATTTGGGGTCGAACGACCATTTCACTGGGGTCGCCAAACAACGCAGTCCGCCATTTTTTTCCCCTTTTCCTTAGCCAATAGAAGAGACTCTCTTGAATAGAGTCTAATTCTATTGGCTTTCAAAAGCCAACAGGAATTGTCCAGGCTGTCTCTGCCCTGCTGAGCCCGCCAAAAGTCCTGTTCTGCAAACGGTGCTGCACCAGTTGAGTAGTCCTCGACTTACGACCGGTTGAGTAGTCCTCGACTTACGACCGGTTGGGGGGTCGCGGCATTAAAAAGGTTGAGAACCATTGTTCTGGAGTCAAGTTGTTCTCTGTCGGGAAATTCCTCCTTAGTTCCAAGTTGGGTCTCTCCTTGGTTATTTTCTGGTGCTTTGGAGAGGAGGTGGACCCCCCTCTTCTTTGGGGCAGCCCCTGAGATATTGGGAGACTGCTATCATGTCCCCCCTGGTCCTTCTTTTCACTAGACATACCCAATTCCTGCAACTGTTATTCAGCTTAGGATTGCATTGATTTTTTGGGGGCAGTTATTCCGTGAATTAGCATTTAAACAGACTCATCGCAACCTAAGGAGAACTAAGGAGAAATTTCCTGAGACTTAGAACATTTAATCAGTGGAACGGCTTGCCTCCAGAAATTGTGGGTGCTCCATCCCTGGAGGACCTCAAGAAGAGATTAAACAACCGTTTGTCTGGAACGGTTGAGCAGGGGGTTGGACTAGAAGACCTGCAAGGTCCCTTCCAAGTCTGTTGTTCTGAGTGGAGCCTGCCACTTCTAGGAAAGCTGGCCAATGTTGGGTCAAAGCCAGCCTCTTCTCTCCTGGAATCATTGGCTTTCTGGACTGGGAACCATGGGGGTTTTAGTCCAAGGTCCTTGGGGAAGGTAAATTGGGCATATTGACCAAACATATGTATTCCTCAATTTATGACCAGTTCCTTAGTGTGTGTTTATGCCTCAGATTCAAAGTTACGACCGCCACTCCCTCTCACAGTCATGTGATGGCACTTAGGGCTACTCATAGTGCCCTGTGGTCACATAACTACCATTGGCCATTCTTTCCCCCAGAAACTGATATTTTATTTCTAGTTTCCAGCAAAGAACATCCATTGTGGACAATGGATTGGCTTAAAAACCACCCTCTTTACTTAACAACCCCTGCAGAAAATGCTGCAAATTCCAAGCTGGGTCTCTCCTTGGTCATTTTCTGGTGCTTTGAGAGGAATGAATGCCTCAACCACGTGAGTGCCTCAACCACCGTCATTATGTAGGATGGGAATTACCCCATTACTGTCATAAGTCGAGGACTACATGTATTCACAACGCAGACCTCTTTCCCTGTCCAAGGGCAGGCTCTGATCTGTCTCTGTTGGCTCTGAACTCTCCCTAGGGACCATCATGTGTTACGGGCAGACCGGAGCCGGTAAGACCTTCACCATGACGGGAACCACCGGGAACTTCAAGCACAGGGGGATCATCCCTCGAGCTATCCAGCAGGTCGTTGACATTTAATTCTGTGTGTGTGTGTGTGTGTGTGTGTGTGTGTGTGTGTGTGTGTGTACGAATGAATGAATAAAAGAAAAGGAAGAAAGGAAGAGAAAAGGAGAAAAGGAACGAAAAAAAAGAAAGAAAAAAAAGAAAAAGAAAGGGGAGGATTATAAATATAGGTTATGGATATAGATAGATGATATAGCTGATAGATGCAGCAGAAAGAGAAAAAGAAAAAAAGAAAGAAAGAAAGAAAGAGAAAGAAAGAAGAAAGAAAGAAAGAAAGAAAAAGAAAGAAAGAGAAGGAAGGAAGGAAAGAAGGAAGGAAAGAAAGAAAGAAAGAGAAAGAAAGAAGAAAGAAAGAAAGAGAAAGAGAGAGAAAAGGAAGGAAGGAAAGAAAGAGAAAGAAAAAAAGAGAAAAGGAAGGAAAGAAAGAAAGAAAGAAAGAAAGAAAGAAAGAAAGAAAGAAAGAAAGAAAGAAAGAAAGAAAATATATCCACCTAAGTCACTGTCAGTGACGACGGGCGACTTGCAAGGGTGAAATCCCCCTCCCAGCAACAACCATCAAACCCAGCCTTTCACGGGCTCCGTGTCAGTATGAGGTCCCCAGGCCCATTGGCAGAACCCCGTCCGGCAGAACCCCATCTTCGGTGTCTTGTGAAAGAGTGTCAAGGCAGAAGCCAGCCTTCTCTCCACATGGCTGGTGTTCCATCGGGAGGGAGCCACCAGGGAGAAGGCCCTTCTTCTGGGTCCCACCAGTTGGACCTCCTTAAGAGAAGGAACCCGTAAAAATCTCCCGAGTCCACATTCCGATGGGTCAGGTGGATGTGATGTGACCCAGAGGTTTGGCAGGGAAGCTGGCCAACTTTTTCGCTGGGTGTCCTGCTAGACTGGGCCTCCCTTTGTAGCCAGAGGACACGCCTTCTCCATCCCTGCAAAGCTGGGTGAATACCAGGGGAATCCTCTGAGCCCAGCCTAAGCCACATAGTCATGTGATCAAAATTCAAAGGCTTAGTAACTGACTAATATTTATGACGGTCGCCGTGTCCTGGAGTCATGTGATCCCCTTTTGCGACCTTCCGACAAACAATGGGGAAAAGCCAGATTCACTTAACGACCTTAGCAGGGATTCCCTTAACAACTGTGGATGGATGGATGGATGGGTAGGTAGACCTTTAAGTAGATCAGTGTTTCCCAAACTTGACAATTTTAAGGCATGTGGACTTCAACTCCCAGAATTCCACAGCCAGCAATGCTGGCTGTGGAATTCTGGGAGTTGAAGTCCACATGCCTTAAAATTGTCAAGTTTGGGAAACACTGAAGTAGATGGATGGGAAGATAGGTGAGAAGGGACGGAGATGGATAGATGGATGGATGGATGGATGGATGGATGGATGGATGGATGGATGATAGAGAGATGGATGAATGGAGATAGACAGATAGAATTCCAATTGACTGCTTTTCACTGCAGGTGTTCAAGTCCATGGAGGAGCACAGCAGCCGGCTTATCACCGTCCGGATTTCCTACCTGGAGATTCACAATGAGACCATTGTGGACCTCCTCCCTCTCGGCTCGGACGGCGACCTCCCCCTGTCCATAGTGGAGAGTCCCCAGGGCGTCTCCGTCAAAGGCCTCTCCATCCACCCTGCTCCCAACGAAGAAATTGCCTTAAATTTCCTGTTTGAGGTAAGGGAGCCGGCACCCTTTACTTTTGCTCGCTGTCCAGTATACTGCGTCACAAAAAGAAGCATATAAAGCAGTTAAACCATTTTAAAAGTTAAAGACATTAAGTGTTACAAAAGTAAAACAATAAAAATGAACTATGGGGATTTTAGTGGTCCTGTTTGCAAGGGGCGGCAGCTTTGCAGAGGAGGCTATGTGGATCGACCTCGACTTACAACTGTTCATTTAGAGACCGTTCAAAGTTACAGTGTCGGTGAAAAAAGGGACTCAGCCATTTTTTATACCTATGGCCGTCACGGCATCCCTGCGGTCACATGATCAATTCAGACGCTCGGCAACCGACTTGCGTTTACGACGGTCTCAGTGTCCCCAGGGGGGTCACGTGATCCCCTTTTGCGACCGTCTGAGAAACCAAGTCAAACGGGGGAAAACCAGATTCACTTCACACCCGAGTTACTAACTATAATATTTCATTTAACAATGGTGGCAACAAAGGTTGTAAAAAGGGGCGAAATTCACTTAACAACCATGTCTTCCTAGCAATGGAAATTTGGGGCTCAGTTGTGGTCGTAAAGTGAGGACTACGCAGGTGAGTCCTCCGTGTAGCTGTATAGCTCTGATAATTCCTTTAGGAAACATCCCGCAGGGACAGTTATTTCAAAATCCAAAATGTTATTTGTCCGTGGAAGTCCTGTTCCTCAACAAGGAGCTCCACCCTCAGTGGCAAATCTACAAACGAGCAATGCATCAGGACTGCCACTCAGTCAGCCATTGCTGTGCCGGTCCAGGTAGTCCTCCACTTATGACCACAGCGGGGGAGCAGACTTTCCATTGCTAAGCAAAGTGATTGTTAAGTAAATCAGGCCTGAGTTTACACCATTTTTTTTGCCAGAGTTATTAAACAAATCCCTGCAGTTGTTAAGTGAATCATGGTCGTTGATCTGGCTTCTCCGATTGTGCTTATCAGAAGAAATACACACACACACACACAGAGAGGGTTGCAGATGTTGATCAGATGACCCCAGGGCCTCTGCAAACTTGTAAATACACACCAGTTGTCAAATGCCTGAATTCTGGTTATGTGACTGTGGGGACATTGCAACCGTCGTTAAGAGTGAGGATCCACCGTAACTCGCTTTCTTTCCAATGCTGTCATAACTTCCAACTGTCATTAAACCGTCATAAGTCAAGGACTACCAATATTGCATTTGTATGCCCTTAAGGGCCACTGGATAGCAATTCCTTTTTAATTCCATTTCAGAAGCGGCGCTGAATAAATGAATTTTCTTCCCATTTCTGCCTCCCTTGTTCCCTTCTCTACTAGGGTGACACCAACAGATCTGTGGGCCAACATGCTCTGAATAAGCATTCTTCCAGGTCGCACTGCATCTTCACCATCTACATCGAGGTCAGTACCTGTGAAACTTGGTTTTAATGCCAATAACGGTGAGAGTGATCTCAGAGTCCTAATGGACGATCACTTAAATAGGAGCCAGCCGTGTGCTGCAGCTGCCAAAAAAACCAACAGAGTGCTGGGCTGCATTAACAGAGGGATAGAATCAAGATCACATGAAGTGTTAATACCACTTTACAATGCCTTGGTAAGGCCACACTTGGAACACGGCATCCAGTTTTGGTCACCACGATGTAAAAAAGATGTTGAGATGCTAGAAAGAGTGCAGAGAAGAAACAATTAAGATGATTAAAGCCTGGCAACAAACATATGAAGAACAGTTGCAGGAATTGCATTTGGCTAGTCTAGAGAAAAGAAGGAGTGTGTGTGTGTGTGTGTGTGTGTGAGAGAGAGAGAGAGAGAGAGAGAGAGAGATGAGAACAGTGCTCCAGTACTTGAAGGGAACCACAATAAATACGGGGTCAGCTTATTCTCCAAAGCTCCAGAAGGCAAATAAAGAAAGAACAGATGGAAACTAATCAAGGAGAGAAGCAACCTGGAATTAACAGAAACTTCTTAACAGTGAGGACAATTAACTAGTGGAACAGCTTGCCAGCAGAAGTTCTGGGTGATCCAACACTGGAGGTTTTTAAGAAGAGACTGGACAGCCATTTGTCTGGAATGGTATAGGCCAGAGGTAGGCCACCTTGGCTCTTTTATGACTGGTGGACTTCAACTCCCAGAATTCCTGAGCCAGCCACGCTGAGAGGAAAGGAAGAGGTTTCCAAGCTGAGCCAGGCTGGCTCAGGGATTCTGGGAGTTGAAGTCCACGAGTCATAAAAGAGCCAAGGTGGCCTGGCCCTGGGATAGGGCCCCCTGTTTGAGCAAGACCTCCAACTCTGTTATTCTGTTTTGTTAAAAAAATTGCCAGCACTCCGGAACAGTTAAGCGTTTTGGGTTGCCTGGAATAACCTCAGCCATCTGTGGTTCAAAGCGTCGCCGTTTTTTAAACCCGCCCTCTAATTTCTGATCTCTCCCTCCAGTGCCACTCGAGAATGCTTTCCAATGCCAGATACGTCATCTCTAAGATTAACCTGGTTGATCTCGCGGGCTCTGAGAGGCTGTCAAAGAGCAAGGTAAGAAAACAAAACTTACGTTTCGAGTTCTTGAGGTTGCTTTTCAAACTGGGAACTGCAGGTAATCCTTGACTTACGACCAAGCTCGATCCCAGAATTTCCAACAGAGTTGTTAAGTGGGTTTTGCCCCATTTGATGATCTTTCTGCCTTTCAGTTGTTAAGCGAATCCCTGAGTCTTTTAAATTAGCCACATGGTCGTTAAGTGAATCCGGCTTCTCCCATTGGCTTTGCTTGTCAAATGGTCGCAAAGCGGGATCGCGTGACTGTGAGGCGCTGCAACCGTCATAAATTATGAGCCTGTTGCCAAGAGTCTTGATTTTTCATCACGTGACCAGGGCCATGCTGCAGTGGTTGTAAGTATGAAAAACAGTCACAAGTCACTTTTTTCAGTGCCTTGTAACTTTCAATGGTCACTAAGTGAACTGTTGTAAGTCGAGGACTACCTGTACCCTCAGTCACTGTGAGTTGGGCAGATATAAATTCAATAAATTATTACTATTTTGGTACATCGCATAGTCAGCCAGGGATTTAGACAGGATTTGGCCTTTTATCAACCTATTGAGGACTTCCCAAATCTCTGCCTATTATATTTACAGCAAGTCCTCAAGTTACAATCATTCGCTTAGTGACTTTGAAACGTACAACAGCACTGGAAAAAAGGACCAATGACTGTTTTTCACACTTACGACCTTTGCAGCATCCTTCTGGTCACGTGATCAAAATTCAGCCAGCTCAGCAACTGGTTCATATTTATGACAGTCGCAGTGATCATTCTGACAGTGGGGGGAGCCAGACTTACTTAATGACCTGTTGCTGACTTAACAACTGCAGTGATTCACTTAAAAAGCGTGGCAAGAAAGGTCATAAAGTGGGGCAAAACTAACTAGCTCTCGGCTTACAGTCACAGTGAAGCCCAAAATTTCTTGGGGTAAGTGAGACAGTCCTGAAGTGAGTTTTGCCCCCGTTTTACAACCTTTCTTAACTTGTCAGAAGGTTGCGAAAGGGGATCGCCTGACCCCTGGGACGGTGCAACCGTCATAAACATGAGCCACCTGTCAAGAGTCCAGATTTGTTTCTTTTGGGTATTTTTGTGGATTTTGATGCTAAAGAAACTATTTTAACGTTGAATTTAATAAAAGCAGCAAGATTATTGGTGGGTCAATATTGGAAGAATGGGTATTTAAGGTTTCTAATTTAGCAGAGATGGCTAAAATTTCTGCTTACTTAAAGGACCATTCTCAAGAGAGATATTTTAATGTATGGAGAAGATGGACAGAATATATTCAGAAGAAGTATGGAACTACAAAGTTTCACTTATTTTATGAGTAATGAATTTTTATAAACTTATGTTAAAGTTTGAAGAGAGTTAAGGGTTAGTATGATTTTGGTTATTGTATAATTAGTAAATTTAAATAGATTATGTTTAATATGTTTGTATAATCCTGTACTTGGCTCTGGGAAGTCCGGGGGGCGGGAGAGGGGGGGGAGGATGGGTTGAAGTTTAAGTAGTTCAGATAAAGTAGAAATAGTTTTACTGTATATAATATTAATGTTTCAATTTGGAGAGAGGAATTGCTCGGGCATTTCCCCTGGACCGCATCCGGAGTGAGAAGGTAGGAGAAGGGGAGAAGCAAGTAGGAAGGTTGAGGAGAGGTGGAGAGTGAGGAAGAGGAAGAAGAGGGAAAGAGGCAAGTTGGTTAGAGGGTGGATGTGGTTTGGGGGGAAATGGGTGAGCAATACTGAGAATTGTGTGTATCAATTTGTTTTATTTTTTATCTGAAGTATTTTTATGAATGTAATGTATTGTAAAATTGAAAATAAAAACTTTTTACAAGAAAAAAAAAAGAGTCCAGATTTGGATCAGGTGGCCATGGGTATGTTACAAGCGTCGTAAGTGTGAAAAACGGTCATAAGTCCCTTTTTTCAGTGCCACTGTAACTTCTGAGGGTCACTGAATGAACTGTTGTAAGACGAGGACTATCTGAACTCTTTCAGATCCTTTGACCAAAACTTTTCTTTTTAAACAGTCGGAAGGTTTTGGACTGAAGGAAGCAACTTACATCAACAAGTCGCTGTCGTTCTTGGAGCAGGTGGTCATCGCCTTGTCGGACTGTAGCCGGGATCACGTCCCCTTTCGGCAGAGCAAGCTGACTTACACCTTGAAGGATTCCTTAGGTGGGGACTTAGGTGGGGAAAATCTAGATTCAGACCCCTGTGAAACTTTGATGACTCCCTTCCAGGATTACAACAAAGCTAGATTGTCACACGAAGCCTGGTTTAATGTAAGCGCAATTGATAACTGGGGGCAGTAGTCTGTTCAGTAAGGCCAGGGTGGCAATCAATATATAGGAAACAACAGGATAGGATAGGATAGGATAGGATAGGATAGGATAGGATAGGATAGGATAGGATAGGATAGGATAGGATAGGATAGGATAGAAAATAGGGAATGGAATAATGAATAAGATAGGACAGGAGAATAGGATAAAATATAGAATAGAACAGAATAGAATATGGAATGGAATGGAATGGAATAGAATAGAATAGAATAGAATAGAATAGAATAGAATAGAATAGAATAGAATAGAATAGAATAGAATAGAATAGAATATAGGATATGATAGAATATAGAATGGAATGGAATGGAATAGAATAGAAATAGAATAGAAATAGAATAGAATAGAATAGAATAGAATAGAATAGAATATAGGATAGAATATAGGATAGAATATAGGATAGAATATAGAATGGAATAGAATAGAATAGAATAGAATAGAATAGAATAGAAAATATGGAATGGAATGGAATGGAATAGGATAGAATATAGAATAGAATAGAATAGAATAGGAAATAGGAATAGAATAGAATAGAATAGAATAGAAAATATGGAATGGAATATTGAATAGAAATAGAATAGAAGCTGGTTCGTATTTATGATGGTTGCAGCGTCCCAGGGGGTTACGTGATTCCCCTTTGGCGACTTTCTGACCAGCAAAGTCGTTGGGGAAGCCAGGTTCACTTAACAACTGTGTGTGACTGACTTAACAACTGCAATGATTCACTTAACAACTGTGGCAAGAAAGGGTCATAAAATGGAGCAAAACTGAAAAACTGTCTCGCAATGGAAATGTTGGCCTCAGTTGCAGTCATAAGTTGAGGACTGGCTGTGCTGCCATGCGCTTTACATGGGGCGGCCCTTGAAAAGTGTCCAGTGATTCAGTTGGTTCAAAATCCAGAGGCCTGCGTGGTTTTGTGTCACTTCTCCTGCAGGCACTGCCCGTTTGCTTCTGGGTCCACTTTAAGGTGCTGGTTGTCACCTTCAAAGCTCTACATGGGGCAGGAGGGGCAGGTTGTCTGAAGGACCCTCATTTCCCAGTCACATCCACCCGACCCAACAGAGGAGCAAGGATGCAGGAGATGCTGTGGGGTCTCGTCTCTCAAGGAGGTCCATCTGGTGGGACCCAGAAGAAGGGCCTTCTCCGTGGTGGCTCCCTGCATGTTGTTTGAAGGACCCTCATTTCCCAATCACATCCACACGACCCACCAGAGCAGGGAGGCAGGAGGTGTTTTATGAATCCCTTCTCTTAAGGAGGCCTTCTTTCTTTTTTTGTTGTTTCCTAGGTGGGAACTGCAACACTGTCCTTGTGGCTAACATCTGCAGTGAGTCCATTCACATCGTGGAAACGGTAAATGTCAGATCTGCCCCGTCTTAGGCGTTTAGGGAAGAAAGACCATCGACTCCCATTTCTTCCTGTGCAGGGCTCTTTTACTAAAGTCAAGCGGTTACAGCTGGATCTGAGTATTCCCTCCCTCCCAAAGGTTGCATTTTCCCCCTTCCCCCCCCCCGCTCCACCCCCACTCCTGACCAGTTAGTTCATCAGTGTCCAGTAGTATTTCCTTTCAATGTTTTGGGAATGGCTTTCCACAGGAGTAGGCCACCTTGGCTCTTTTATGACTCATGGACTTCAGCTCCCAGAGTTCCTGAGCCAGCATAGCATAACGTTCTCATGCTATGTGTCCTTGCCGGCTGGCTTATTCAGGTTTGACACCTCTGGTTCATGTCAGCTCATCTCCTCTTCTCCCCCCCCCCGTCTCCCCCACATACATTCCCATGCCCATCCTTTCCTCCCCAATTGCCTCCCTCCCCTCCCCTTGCATTTTATGGCAGGATGCCAGGGAAGTGAAGAAGCTGAAGGTGGCAACCTGGCAGTTAAGTCTCAGGCCGGATGGGTTTTCTCTGTCTCCCTGCTCTTGAGACCAAGTAGCCAAACTTGACACGCCCCCTCTTGCTAGGACAGTGGTTCTCAATCTTTTTAATGCCGCGACCCCCAACCGGTCGTAAGTCGAGGACTACTCAACTGGTGCAGCACCGTTTGCAGAATGGGACTTTTGGCGGGCTCAGCAGGGCAGAGACAGCCTGGACAATTCCTATTGGCTTTTGAAAGCCAATAGAATGAGACTCTAGTCAAGAGAGTCTATTCTATTGGCTTTCAAAAGCCAATAGAATAAAAGGGAGTAGCACAGCTAAGGAAAAGGAGGAAAAAAATGGCGGATTGCGTTGTTTGGCGACCCCCATGAGATGGTCGTTCAACCCCAAATGGGGTCCCGACCCACAGGTTGAGAACCACTGGCTTAGCTAGAACATTTGCAGACCTATTTTGGATACAGAGCAAAATACGAATTTTTCCACCCCACGCAGTACAAGGAGCGTGGTGTTTTCCAGTGACTTCCTTTTTAAAAAAAAATGTTAACTAGAAACTTTGCAAACTGAGGAAATAATAACACAGATAATAATAACCTGCTTATTGGACAGCCTGAAAACACAGTGCAGGTAGTTCTTGACTTACTGCGGTTCGTTTAGTGACCAGAGTTACAACAGTGGCGGAAAAAAAACCGGATTTATGTCTGTTTCTCACACTTACGACTGTTGCAGCGTCCCTGCAGTTATGTGATCAGAATTCGGATGCCTGGCAACTGGTTCACATTTATGACGGTTGCAGGGCCCCAGGGACACGTGATCCTTTTTTGCGGATATCTGACCAAGCCATGGGGAAGCGGATTCACTTTACAACCGTGTTACAAACTTAACAACTGCAGTAATTCACTGAATTATTGGGGCAAGAAAAGTGGTAAAACAGGGCAAACCAATTGACAACTTTCTCCCTTAGCAACAGAAATTTTGTGTTCACTTGTGGTCGTAAGTCAAGGACTACCTGCCAGTGCACTTTTGTATACCAATTATCTCTAATACAAATTGTTTGGAGCCCAAAATAACATGACTGTGGCAAATAGGGCGATGCTCATATTTTTCCAGCTGTCCACACTTCGCTTTGCCACCAGGATGAAGTGGGTGACTACCGTGCCGTTTGTCAACGAAAAAATTGACTCGGAGGTATGTCCTCTTGCGGTGCTTCTGCAGTCTCAAAGGAGTGACTGGGTGAAAGGAAACAGAGGTAGACATCTGAATGTCAAACCCAAGGGCATTATCATGAGTGCTAGAAGGGAGTGAGGTTTGCAAAGGGGGGGGGAGGAGGAGGAGGAAGAAGAAGAAGAGGAGGGAAAAGATTGGGGTTCTTGATGCTCTCCGAGCTTGGTGGGTTTTTTGCGGACGTCATTAGTGCTAGAAGGGAAGAAGGTTTGTGAAGTGGAAGACGAGGAGGAGGAAGACTGAGGGGTCCTTGGTGATCTCTGAATTTGGTTTCTTGCAAATATTTCATTACCAAGCTAAGTAACATCTTCATGCTAGAATAGAGTGGGGGATATGGAGAGGAGGGGGAAAAGGAGGAGAAAGACTGTGGGGTCCTTGGTGCTCTCTGAGCTGGGTGGTTTCTTGCAGATGTTTCATGACCCAACTAGGGAACATCATCAGTGCTAGAAGGGAGGAGGAGGAGGAGGAGGAGACTGGGGGGTCCTTGACGGTCTTTGAGCTTGGTTGTTTTCTTGCAGACGTTTCATGACCCAACTAGGAAACATCATCACTGCTAGAAGGGAGTGGGATCTGCAGGGAGAAGGAAAGGGAGGAGGAGGATTGTGGGGTCCTTGGTGCTCTCTGAGCTTGGTTGTTCTCTTACAGACCTTTCATTACCAACCCAGACAATGTCATCAGTGCAGTGATGATCAGGGCATCCTCATAGTCCCTTCTCTTGGTTAGAGGATGAAGGACGCTAACGAACATGTTGTATTTCCTGGGGTCTGATAACATCTTTGGGCAGTCCTTGACTTTGACTTTCCTACCGCTTAGTCCATGCCATTCTTGTCTGCTTAGCGGATGGTGAAGAACTTGGAGAAAGAGGTCCTATACCTGAAGGAAGAGTTGGCGATGCACAACAGTTTGGTAAGGCGCCACCACCTAGGATGCGTTGGTGACATGATCTGAGCGGATTGGCCTTCTTCTCTGCATGCCAGAGATGTCTGCCTAGTTCCCCTTTAGCTGTCAGAGAGGGGGAGGAGTCAAGTAGGGAATTAGTCTGGCATCCTTACATAGGCACAAGGGAGCCAGTTCTGACCTCCGTTAAATGCCATTGAACCTTATCTAGTCTGTCCCAGCTGCAAACTGACAGTCTGGGAAGATTCCTACAAAATGCAGAGGGTCCTTGACTGCAACAGTTCGCTTAGCGTCTGCTAAAATTACAACTGCCCTGGAAAAGGGGGACTTACGACTGTTTTTCACATTAATGACTTTCGCAGCATCCCTGTGGTCACCTGATCAAAATTCGGACGCTTGGCAACGGACTCACATTTATGATGGTCACAGCATCCCAGGGTTCCGTAGTCCTCTTTTGCAACTTAACTGAGCAGCAAAGTCTACGGGGAAGGCACATTCGTTTAACAACCGTGTTACTAGCTTAACAGTTGTAGGGATTCCCTTAACAACTGTCGCAAGGAAGGCTTCAAAATGGGGCACTTAACAAATGTCTTGCTTAGCAAAGAAATCTTGGGCTCCATGAGTGGTCGTAAGACGAGGATTATGTGTAGCCATTAAGCAGTAAAGTAGCTAATTGAATTCTTCATGTGTGGAAGAGTTGTTCGCACTTCATGTTGTAATAACAACAACAACAACTGCTCTGGGACTTCAGAATTCAAACAGACAAGCACCTGCAACATAACACCCCAGACTTAACAATTGTCGATAAGAAAGACAAAAAAGTCTGGATAGTGGCCGTGGCAGTGCCTGGAGACAGCAGAATAGAAGAGAAAGAACTGGAGAAGAGAACAAAATACAAAGACCTACAAATAGAAATAGAAAGACTGTGGCAAAAGCAAGCAAGGGTAGTACCAATAGTGATAGGCTCCTTGGGTGCAATCCCAAAACAACTGGAGCACCCCTTGAACACCATCATCGGCATTGACAAATTCGCTATTAGTCAATTGCAAAAGGCAGCCTTACTAGGAACTGCTTCCATCCTGCGACGAGATCTGTAATACCATCAAACATCCACATCTGCCTATCCCAGGTCCTGGGTAAGGACTCAATAGGTAGATAAAATGCCAAATCCAGTCTGAACATCTGGCTGACTGTGCGATGATCCATAATGATAATAGTAATAATAACAACAACAACAACAACAATAACGTTGGAAGGGACCTTGGAGGTCATCTAGTCCAACCCCCTGCTCAGCAGGAGACCCTATACCATTTCAGACAAATGGCTGTCCAGTCTCTTCTTAAAAACTTCCAGTGTTGGAGCATTCACCGCTTCTGGAGGCAGGTGGTTCCACTGGTTCATTGTTCTAACCAGTTAACCTTCCCAGTGTGGCAGTTTGCACCTGGGCCAGACCAGATAAGGTTCAGTGGCAAACTGGCGGCTTTTAAGAAGGAACTGGACCATCGGATAAGTATAGGGTCTCCTGCTTGAGCAGGGGGTTGGACTGGAGGACCTCCAGGGACCCTTCCGTATTCCCCTTGGGAGCCTAGGTTGAGACAATTAAGTAAAGGCTGGCCCCAAGGAGAGAGAAGAGAGGAATTGCTGTCTTAATTTGATTGATTCTTCTATCTTTCTCTTTTAGCTCAATCGCCCGCCGGTGACCTACGAGCCCATGAACGAGATTCAGATCGCGGAAATCAACTCTCAAGTCCGTCGGTTTCTGGAGGGTACCATTGATGAGCTTGACGTGAGTCGCTCGCTTGCAGATAACGGAGAATGCATAAATCCTTCAGAGGGTTTGGATACGTATTTTTCTCCCTTCGGTTCAAGCCATGCAATCCTCAAAGATTGCCAGGAAAAGCCTCTGCAGCTGGCTTGGCAAGGTTTTCTAGTAGTGATTTGCCATTGCCCCCTTTCTAGGGCTGAGAGAAGGTGGCTGGCTCAAAGTCACCCAGTTGGCTTTGTGCCCCAGGCAGGACTAGAATTCAGGGTCGCCCCATTTCTAGCCTCAAATATCCATCTACGACTTACAATAGTTCATTTAGTGACCAAAATTACAACGGCACTGAAAAGAAGGGACTCATGACCGTTTTTCACACTTATGACCGTTGCAGCATCCTCCTGGTCACGTGATCCAAATTCGGACACTTGGCAACTGACTCATATTTACGACGGTCACAGTGATCCTGGGGTCACGTGATCCCCTTTTGTGACTTTCTGAGCAGCAAAGCCAATGGGGAAAGCCGGATTCACTTAACGACTATATTGCTAACTGAACAACTGCAGGGATTCACTTAGCAACTGTGGCAAGAAAGGGTCGTAAAATGGGCCAAAACTCCCTTAACAAATGTCTCGTTTAGCAACAGGAATTTTGGGCTCCATTGTGGTTGTTAGTCGAGGATCACCTGTATCCAGTGTGGGAGATCTATATCCTCCCCCTGAGGGGGGTAAAGCATCCCTATAAGAAGCCATGATTCTCAACGTTGGCAACTTTAAGATGGCTGGACTTCAACTCCCAGAATTCCCCAGCCAGCCATGCTTGTCTGTCCCAGCTGCAAACTGCCTGTCTGGGAAGGTTCCCCACTTAGAGCAATTCACAGCTGTGCTGGCTGGAGGATCCTGGGAGCTGAAGTCCACTCCCCTTGAAGGTGCTAAGGCTGGGAAACCCTGCAGATAGCTGGGGTTTATGGGTTTTGTGGTCCTGTACTTAAATCAGTGGCATCCTTTGATGGATTCCTCCTTCTGTTATATAATCAAGATGGACAGTATTTAATATTTATTGTTATGTATATGTAGGGGTGTGGGTCTATACATATGTTGTACATAGTATGTTTAGGTGGGTGTCATGTATGCGTTTCACTTTGAGAACGGGCAACTAAATTCCATTTTTGATGTGTGCCATTGTGCCCGCAGTAAAAAAATGACAATAAAGGTTATCTTCTCTTCTCTTCTCTTCTCTTCTCTTCTCTTATCTTATCTTATCTCTTACATCTTACATCTTACATATTATCATCTTATCTTATCTTATCTCTTACATCTTACATCTTATCTTATTTTATCTTATCTTCTCATCATCTCATGTCATCTTATCTTATCTAACCACCCAGGGCAGGGATCATGTAGTTCAAATTAGATCTAAATGGCTGTCAGTTGAAATCCATAAAGTGGATCTCACTAAGACTGAGAACGGAACCACTGGATACACCCTGAGGCAAAGAATTTGCTTCTTTTTGCTTTGGGAATCTGTGAATTATTATTTTTTTTTTTTAAAAAAAAAGCCAGCTTTGTATACTCTAAGCGATGTTTTGTGGGTGACTCCTGGCACAAACATGAAGGGTTACCCTGGGCTCACAATGAGGACGCTCTCCCTGCTTCTTCCTTTCCTCCCACAGATCACGAGCATCCGTCAAATCCAAGAGGTTTTTAACCAGTTCAAAATCATCTTAAGGTAAGGGATTGCGAATGCAGGTAGTCCTCACTTAATGATCGGTCGCTTAGCAACTGTTCAGAGTTATGACAGATGCTCCCAAAGGTATTTAACCCCCCTCCCCAATTTTGAAGTTTTGATTTCCCCACATGCACATCCATGCCCCCACCCATCCACAGCAACACAATCACATTTTGGGTGCATGGCTTACGGCCATGATTTTGAATGCTTCTAGCCAGAAAAAAAAAATTCCTGTTGGGCAGAATGGATCTAGCAGAAAACTGATCTCTTGGGACATCATCTATCGCTATGCCTCCAAAACATCTGTAAGTAGAAGGAGCACAAAGTCTGAAAGTTGGAGGAGGTTTCTTGGTCTGTTAGAGGAGCCTGCAGAGTTGCCAACCCCTAAGGCAGAAGCCAAGACTTGTATCAAAAGGACCACAATAGTAACTTCAGGCTATCTTTATTTACTGAATTTTTGAACACAATAAAAGTATGGAACGTATTTTTAAAAAAAAAACCTGAAAGAAAAGAAAAAGGTACATACAAAGAGAGATAATGAATGAATGAATAAAATATGATAGATATTTAGATAGATAATAAAGATAGATAAAGGATAAATAATAGATAATAGATAAATGAAAGAGAGAGATATATACAAGGACATAGTGGTAGACGAGACAAACGATGATAGATAACGGATAGATGATAGATAAATAATAAAGGGATAAAAAAATGGATAGATAAGGGATGGACAAATGATAGAGGGATAGAAAGGTGGATAGATAAGGGACAGATAAATGATAGAGCGGTGGAAAGATGGATGGATAATAGTTAAACAATAGAGAGATGATAGACATAAAGAAATAGTTAATATACATAAGATAAAGAATTCAAGTCATAGTATATACATGATGGATAAGTAGATGGGGAGTAAGGCAGATGGATGGAGGGAGATGGAGAGAAAGAGAGAGTCAATCAGTCCCAAAGGTAGATTTTGAAAGGTGGGAACTAAAGGCTACGCTAACGAAGGCCTAGCCCAGGGGTAGGCCATCTTGGTTCTTTTATGACTGGTGGACTTCAACTCCCAGAATTCCTGAGCCAACATGGGGGGACTAAGGCCCCTTCATGACTTGCAGACTTCAACTCCCAGAATTCCTGAGCCAGCATGGCTCAGCTTGGAAACCTCTCCCTTTCCCCTCAGCGTGGCTGGCTCAGGAATTCTGGGAGTTGAAGTCCACAAGTCATAAAAGAGCCAAGGTTGCCTACCTCTGGCCTAGGCCTAGGCCACTCTATGGCTCGTGGACTTCAACTCCCAGAATTCCTGAGCCAGCATGGCTCAGCTTGGAAACCTCTCCCTTTCCCCTCAGCGTGGCTGGCTCAGGAATTCTGGGAGTTGAAGTCCACGAGTCATAAAAGAGCCAAGGTGGCCTAGCCCTGCTCTAGTGGGTACAGACTGGCAGCTTTGTGCCCCGAGAGGGCAGGGACTGGTGGCTTCTTTCCATTCTTTGATTCATGATGTCATGGTGGTCTTGTAGTTATGACATCAGAGACACTTCAGGGGTCAAGGGAGGGGCCACTGCTGAAAGCTCCATCCAAAGGGAGGGCGCCCTCTGCTTGAGAAGCAGGGATGGGGAATTGCTGGCTGTGGAATTCTGGGAGTTGAAGTCCACATGCCTTAAAATGGTCAAGTTTGGGAAACACTGGGCTAGGGGTTTAGTCTACTCCAAAGCGGCTGAGTTTGTACTACAGGCTAGATCAGACTAAAAACCGGGTGAGTAGCTGGGAGTCCGGCAGTGTTTTGTGGTTTGCTGTCTTATGCGAACCTGGCCCATATGTGTTGCTTTTAGCCAACAAGATCAGGAAGTGGAAGCCAGATTGCGGAGCAAGTACGCCCTTATAGACAAGACCGACTTTGCGACGCTCTCGGCCGTCCAGAAGGTGAGCGAATGAAGAATGGGGTTGGGGTTTCTCGTCCCGTTTGTCTCTCAAACTCTGGTTTGGGAAGTGGAAGCTCAGTTTGGCCTGAGAGAGTTTGGCCCAGCGAGGAGACCCTGCATCCAAGGAGGCTGATTCCCCCTCTTTGCTCTCCCCAGGCAGGAATAGTGGACGCTGAGGGGCATCTGGTGGGAGAAATGGACGGGCAAGGGTTCGGCATCGGCACGGCCCCCTTCTCCTCCAAGCCTGGCAAGAAAATGAAAGCCAAGAAAGGGAAAGAACAGACAAGGTTGGAGGGCTGCTCTTTTGCCCCTCCCTCCCTCCCTCCCTCCCTCCCTCCCTTCCTTCCTTCCTTCCTTCCTTCCTTCCTTCCTTCCTTCCTTCTGTGTCTCCCTCCTTCCTTCCTTCCTTCCTTCCTTCCTTCCTTCTGTGTCTCCCTCCCTCCCTCCCTCCCTCCATCCATCTATCCTTCTTTCCCCTCCCTCCCTCCCTTCCTTCTCTCCCTCCTTCCTTCTTCTTCCATGTGTCCTCCCTCCCTCCCTCCCTCTATCATTCTTTCCCCTCCCTCCCTTCATTCCTTCCTTCCTCCTTTTTCTGCTTTATGTCCTTCCTTCCTTCTCTCCCTCCTTCTCTCCCTCCTTCCTTTTTCTGCAATGTCCTTCCTCACTCTCTCCATCCATCCATCCATCCATCTATCCTTTCCCCACCCTCCCTTCCTTCTTTCCTTCTCTCCCTCCCTCCTTCCTTCCTTCTCCCTCCTTCCTTTTTCTTCCATGTGTCCTTCCTCCCTCCCTCCATCTATCATTCTTTCCCCTCCCTCCCTTCATTCCTTCCTTCTTCCTTTTTCTGCTGTATGACCTTCCTTCCTTCCTTCGTTCCTTTTTTTGCAGTGTGTCCCTTCATTCCTCCCTCCATCCATCTATCCCTCTTTCCCCTTTTTTCCTTCCTTCCTTCCTCCCTCCCTCCCTCAGAGATGCTGTGATGGGTATAAGTACAAAAACAGATCATAACTGTTGTAACTTTGAAAAGTCATTATATGAATGGTTGTAAGTTGTCTGTCCTCATCTTCCCCTAGTTTTTGGCCTACCACCACCCGACTTTGGGGAGGTCCCACCTGCCTGGAGCCTCTGAGATCCTCAGGGTGGCCCCCCTCTGCCCCCTTCCCCAAAAGGCCCCTCTGCTGGGCTCAGCCCAAAGGCAGTCCCCTCCTCCCGAGACCCGGCTGGGACCCTGAGGCCTCTGCTTGCCTTCCAGCCCCACAGCTCGCAAGGAGGGCCTGGGGAGCCCGCTTTCCGGGAAGGACCTGGAGACCCTCTCGGGGTCTCGCAGCCAAGTGGTGGCCACCACCAGAGAGCTGGAAGGAAAAGACGCCTTGCTCCGCGACCAGGAGGCCTCCAGCCTTGACACGCATCGCTCTGAGTCGGCGCCAAGAGACGATAGCAGCATCAGACCCAGGTAGCTTTTCGTGGCGGTCTCCCGTCTTTTGCTTCCCAGCTGAGCCTTAGGTGGCTCCCTGTAACCCATCTCTGGCCTACAGGTCCCAGTCCCTTCGTGCGGGAGACAGTATAGCATGTATGGATGAACCTGGGCCACAGGGGAAGAGGTGCTGCTTAGGAAAGGATAAGGATAAGAGACAGCCAAGCCCACAGCTGTATAACGGACGGAGAAAGACACTCAGAAGGGAGTGTCCCTCCCTAGTTTGAAAAGGAGGGGGGGGTATAAGGGTGCGTGGAAAAGACCTTGGGGGACTGAGCGAAGGGATGCGGCTTAGGGAACGTTGGATAAGATGTATAATGGGTGGAGAAAGAGGCCCAGAAGGAAACCTCTGTTAAGTTATCAGGCTTTAAAAAGAGAGAGTGGGAGATTTGTACTTTCAGACAGCGTGGCTTAGCAATGTGCTGCAGCAGTCCTGGACTACATCAACAGGGATAGCATGAAGATCACGTGAAGTGAAAAGACTACCTCCAATTCTGGTCCCTAGAGAAGGTCCTAAAAAGAGAGTAGAGAAGATGATTAGGGGGCTGGAGGCTAAATTGAGGGAACTGAGTTGGGCCAGTCTAAGGAAAAGAAGGACAAGGGATGATATGATAGCAGAGTTTCAATATTTGAGGGGTTGCCGTAAAGAAAAGGAGGGGTCAAGCTCTTCTCCAAAGCGCCTGAAGGCAGGACAAGAAGCAACAGATGGAAACTAAGCAAGGAGAGAAGCAACCTAGAACTAAGGAGAAACTTCCTGACAGTGAGAACAATTAGCCAGTGGAACAGCCTGCCTCCAGAAGTGGTGAATGATCCAACACTGGAAGTTTTTAAGAAGAGACTGGACAGCCATTTGTCTGAAAGTTTTCTGCCTGAGCAGAAAATTTGGACTAGATGACCTCCAAGGTCCCTTCCAACTCTGTCCTTCTGTTATTTTTTTAAGTGGAGATGATCCAAAGCTTTTGGACCTGTTTCTCAAACTCAACAACATTAAAATTCAACTCACAGAATTCCCTAGTCAGCCTGCAGGGACTCTAATACCCAGATTAATACCACTCTTCAATGCCTTGGTAAGGCCACACTTGGAATACTGCATCCAGTTTTGATCACCACAATGTAAAAAAGATGCTGAGACTCTAGAAAGAGTACAGAGAAGAGCAACAAAGATGATTAGGGGGTCAGAGGCCAAAGCATATAAGGAACAGTTGCTGGAATTGGGAATGTCCAGTTTAATGAAGAGAAGGACGAGGGGGGACAGGATAGCAGCCTTGCAGTATCTCAGGGGCTGCCCCAAAGAAGAGGGAGTCAAGCTATTCTCCAAAGCACCTGAAGGCAGGATAAGAAGCAACGGATGGAAACTAATCAAGGAGAGAAGCAACCTGGAATTAAGGAGAAATTTCTTGACAGTGAGAACAATTAACCAGTGGAACAGCTTGCCACCAGAAGTTATGGGTGATCCAACACTGGAAGTTTTTAAGAAGTGGTGGGACAGCCACTTGTCTGACATGATAAGGCCTCATACTTGAGCAGGGTGTTGGACTAGATGACCTCCAAGGCCCCTTCTAACTCTCTTATTCTGTGATTCTGTAAGGGTCTTCTACTTGAGCAGGGGGTTGGACTGGATGTCCTCCAAGGTCCTTTTCAACTCTGTTATTCTATGACTTGCAAGGTTCTGTTAATGTAGTCTTGCAATGATGTAGAATTAGTTTATCTGGTCCTGTTTCCTGTCTGACTACTCGTGAAGACTGACAGTAACAGGATAAATTACATGCAGACCTGTGTATAATTATACAGCTGCCGTAAATTGACAAGAGTCGCCCAGGTCAGATGGGCAGAAAACGAATCAATCAGTTACAGGCAGTCCTCATGTTACAACCACAACTGAGTCCAAAATTTGCTAAGCAAGGCGGTTGTTAAGCGAGCTTTCCACGTTTTACAACCTTCCTTGCCACAACTGACAACATGAGCCGAGGTGGCGCAGCAGTTAGAGTGCAGTACTGCAGGCCACTTTAGCTGGCTGTGTTCAGCAGGTCAGCGGTTCAAATCTCACTGGCTCAAGGTTGACTCAGCCCTTCCATCCTTCCGGGGTAGGTAAAATGAGGACCCAGATTGTTGGGGGCAATGTAAATATATATATATACATTGCTTACTGGTGTACACCGCTTAGAGAGTGCTTGCACTTAAAGCGGTATATAAGTCTCATAAATAAATAAATAAACTGTTAAGTGAATCCCTGCAGTCATTAAGTCAGTCATGCGGCTGTTAAGTGAATCTGTCTTCCTCCATTGACTTCGCTTGTCAGAAGGTCGCAAAAGGCGATCACGTGACCCCGGGGGATGCTGCGACCGTCATAAATACGAGTTAGTTTTGCCAAATGTCTGAATTTTGATATGTGTGAGCATGGGGGATGTTGTGACGTTTGTAAGTGTGAAAAAACGGCCCTAAGTCCCTTTTTTCATTGCCGTTGTAACTTCGAACGGCCACTGAACGGATGGTTGTAAGTTGAGGACCACCTGTAATTAATAAAAGAGCTAATTCTTGCCCCTCACCCGTCTCTCTCCTCGGGGCAGCTCCCCGCCGGCCAGGATGTCGGCCTTTGAAGACTTCAAGAGCGAGCGCGGCAGCGAGATCAACCGCATCTTCAAGGAGAACAAGACCATCTTGAACGACCGCAGGAGAAGGCTGGGCGAGGTCGTCCAGAGGATCAACCTGGTCAAGCAGGAGATGGACACCACCCGCCAGGCCCTCGAGATCCAGAAACTGGAGCGGGAGCACCAGGGTGAGCAGGAGGAACGAAGGAAGAGGTTTGCTTGGAAGCCTGGTTTGGCAGCCGATGGAACTCCTGGCCACCAGACCGGCTGGGACGGGCTTTTGCCCCAGCTCAGACCTCCATTTTATTTCAGCATTTATTAATTCCTTTATGCTGCCTCTTTCCCCGACCTGGGCAGCGTCAAAAGGGGCTACTCTAGTCCATTGATGGTGGACCTTTTAGAGACCGAGTGCCCAAACTGCAACCCAAAACCCACTTATTTATCACCGGGTGCCGGGTGGGCGTGGCCCACTGGGTGGGCGTGGCTGTGGTGGTCATGGCAGATTGGGTGGGTGTGGCCAAGGTGGGCGTGACCACCTCGATGTTGCTCGTGGGGAGGGACGCCTGTGGGGGAGATCCAGGGGTCTCTGGCAGGTGGGGCGGTGGGCAGGAGGCTCATCCTGTGGGGTAAAACAAGGTGAGGCAGGGTGGGGGTGCCATTGTCGCAGGGCAAGGTGAGGCAGGGGCCGAGGCGTCTGTTGCCTGACACCATCAGCCCCCCCCACACAGAGGCCAGCGAGCGCATGGGGGTCAACAGTGTCCGTCAGCAACCACAGCCTGCCGGCCCCTCAACTGGCACACTCTGGGGTTCCGCAGCCCACCGCCAGCAGTTCAGAGAAGCTGCCTCTGAGCTGGATAGCTGACTGACAACTGAGGAGGCAATGCAGTGGGTCATGCCTGGGAAAAGGAGAGCATGCGAGGCCAGGAGGGATGGGACGGGGGAGAGAAACCAGCCGTGCTGGGATGCATCCGGCCACGTGGGAGCTCGGTGAGTTAGCAGGCAGCTGGTTGAAGAGGGAAGGTTGCCATCTCCAAGGCATGGTGCACGTGCCCACAGAGAGGACTCTGCCTCTGGCACCTGTGCCATAGATTCGCCACCACTGCTCTAGTCCAAGCTGATCGCATTGCGGGCCGTATCGTGACACATCGTGAGTTGTTTTGCCCTTTGCGGGGCCAGAATGATCTATCCCAGTGGTTCTCAGCCTTTTTAATGCCGCGACCCCCAACCAGTCGTAAGTCGAGGACTACTCAACCGGTCGTAAGTCGAGGACTACTCAACTGGCGCAGCCCCGTTTGCAGAATGGGACTTTTGGCGGGCTCAGCAGGGCAGAGACAGCCTGGACAATTCCTATTGGCTTTTGAAAGCCAATAGAATTAGACTGTTCAAGAGAGTCTATTCTATTGGCTTTCAAAAGCCAATAGAATAAAAGGGAGTAGCACAGCTAAGGAAAAGGGGGGGAAAAATGGCAGACTGTGTTGTTTGGCGACCCCTGTGAAATGGTCCTTCGACCCCAAATGGGGTCCCGACCCACAGGTGGAGAACCGCTGATCTAGCCGGAACGTGCAAGAGAGTCTGAAGAGTACAGGAGCCCTTGAGTGACGACTGTTTAGTGACCGTTCAAAGTTACAGCAGTGCTGAAAAAAATGACTTAGGACCGTTTTTTGCACTTTCAACCTCTGCAGCACCCCTGGAGTCACGTGGTCAGGGTTAGAACCACTTGGAAGCTGACTCGTATTTATGACAGTTGCACAGCGTCCCAAGGGATCACCTGATCCCCTTTTGCGACCTTCTGACAAGCATAGTCAATGGGGGGGGGGTAGGTGGATTCACTTAACGACCCTGTGACTGACTTAATCTCAGTGATTTGCTTAACAATAGTGGCAAGGAAATGGGGCAAAACTCACTTAACAACCTAGCAACAACCTAGTACTTAACACTGAGCAACAGAAATTTTGGGCTCAGTTGTAGTCATAAGTCGAGGATTGCCTGTATGCCATGAGCTCTAAATGGACTTCCCATGAAGGGCACATCTTGAAACCTGCATTACAGGTATTCCTCAATTTATGACTGGTGAATTTAATCTGCCTGTGACGGTCATATGTTCTGAAGGTCATAAGACGGATTGGTTACCTGGCCAACCTGACAGTTGTAAAGCGAGCACCACAGTCCTTAATTGAATGCCGTGCTTAAGTAAACCAGTGATCTGTTACGGCCGAGGTTTTGCCCAAAATCAGAAGTAAGGGTCATAGGTCCCCTTTTTCGCATCCATGGTAATATCCAGCGGTCACTAAATGACCAGTCGTAAGTCAAGGACTATCTGTGGATGACTCAGTTTAGAACAGGTAGTCCTTGACGTACGGCCAAATTCAGTCCAAAGTTTCCATGGCTAAGAAGAGGGACATTTGTTAAATGCGTTTTGTCACATTTTACGACCTTTCTTGCCACAGTTGTTAAGTGAATCATTGCAGTTGTTAAATGAGGGACACGGTCGTTAAGTGAATCTGGCTCCCCCATGGATCATCAGGATATTGCAAAAGAGGACGTCTCTCTCTCTCTCTCTCTCTCTCTCTCACACACACACACACACACGACACTGCAACTATCATAAAATATGAATCAGTTGCCAAACATCTCAATTTCACTCCTGCGATCATGGGGATGCTGTGACGGTCGTAAGTGTGAAAAAGGATCCTAAGTCCCTTTTTTCAGTGCCGTTGTAACTTGGAACGGTCACTGAATGAAGTGTTGTAAGTCAAGAATTAGCTGTACCGAATCATCCTCGTCCAAACGGTGACCTAAGGACCCGCAGGGGACCCCAGGCTGACCCCGTCCTCGGCCTCTTCCCCCCGCGGGGGCAGCTGCCCAGCTGACGACGCCTCCCTCCCGCCTAGGCGAGTACCTGAACGAGGAAGGGCAGATCATCATTGACGAAGAGGAGTTCCTCCTCATGGTGAAGCTGAAGGACCTCAAGAAGCAGTACCGGGACAACTACGACCAGCTGCAAGATCTCCGCTCTGAGGTCCAGTACTGCCAAAACCTGGTGGATCAGTGTCGCAATCGGCTACTCACAGGTAGGGCCGGGCGCTGGGAACGGAACGGGTGGGCACTTCAAGCGTGGCTGGCATGGCTGGTGGTGCCAGGCTTGGCCCAAGAAGGAGATGGAAAATAGCCTAGTCCGTCCTTCCTTTCTTCCCTCCCTCCCTCCCTCCTATCCATCCATTCCCATTTTCTTTCCTTCCTTTCTTCCCTCCCTCCCATCCATCCATCTATCCCCATTTTTCTTTCCTTCCTTCCTTCCTTCCTTCTTTTCCTCCCTCCCATCTATCCATCCCCACTTTCTTTCCTTCCTTCCTTTTCTCCCTCCCATCCATCCATCCATCCCCCATTTTCCTTCCTTCCTTTCCTCCCTCCCTCCCATCCATCCATCCCCATTTTCCTTCCTTCCTTCCTTCCTTTCTTCTTTTCCTCCCTCCCATCCATCCATCCCCATTTTCTTTCCTTCCCTCCCTCCCACCCATCCATCCCCATTTTTCTTCTTTCCTTCCTTTCTTCCTTTCATCCCTCCCTCCCATCCATCCATCCATCCCCATTTTCCTTCCTTCCTTCCTTCCTTCTACATCCCTTCCTTCCTCTCTCCTACCTTCTTCCCTCTCTCCCTCCCACCCTCCCTTTTCCTCCTTCCCTCCTTCCCTTTCTATCTTCCTCCCTTCCCCTTCTCCTTCTCCCTCTCTCCCTCCCCCACCCCCAGGACCCCCGAAGCCTTCTCTGACCCTCCCCAGGGACACACCCGGTCAGTCTGGGGAGATTCTTGTAACCCACACGCTCCTGGTTGAGACGATTCACAAGTGTGGGCTTCCCCTGACACTGTGCACCCCACCCTGTGATCTCCCCCGGGGGGGGGCTTCTCCCAAAGAGCATCGCTCAGCCCGGCTGTTTGTGACTCCCTCCCACCGGCTCTTTCTCTCCCATCCTCTCCCCCCCCCCCAGAGTTTGACATCTGGTACAACGAATCCTTCCTGATTCCGGAAGAGGTGAAGCAAGCCCTGCGGCCCGGAGGGTCCATCCGGCTTGGCATGATTCCCATGAACAGGGTCCTGACTCTGGTAAGTTGCCCAGGGTCTCAGCTGCCTCGCAGCAGCCTGGAACTGAGGAGGAACTTCCTGATAACTAGAACAATTAATCCGTGGAAGGAGCTGCCTCCAGGGGTGGTGGGTGGTCCATTGCTGCAGTTCTCCAGAAGACACTGGGCAGCTGTTTGTCTGAAATGGTCTAGGGCAGTGTTTCCCAAACTTGACCATTTTAAGGCATGTGGACTTCAACTCCCAGAATTCCACAGCCAGCAACGCTGGCTGTGGAATTCTGGGAGTTGAAGTCCACATGCCTTAAAATGGTCAAGTTTGGGAAACACTGGTCTAGGGCAATAGAGGGAGCATAAAAGGGAGGAGCACAGCTAAGGAAAAGGGGGGGAAAATGGCGGATAGCCTTGTTTGGCGACCCCCGTGAAATGGTCATTCGACCCCAAATGGGGTCCCGACCCACAGGTGGAGAACCACTGGCATAGTGGCGACACCAGTTTGAAGTCCACAGGCCCTAAAGATGCTGAGGTCCAGAGACACAGATTTAAGGTGTCCCAGTCATGAGCAGGAATTTAGGAACAACCAAGGGAAGCCGTGAGTGTTCACACCTGCACACAAACATCCCACAACACTAATTCTATTGGCTTTCAAAAGCCAATAGGAATTGTCCAGGCTGTCTCTGCCCTGCTGAGCCCGCCAAAAGTCCCATTCTGCAAACGGTGCTGCGCCCGTTGAGTAGTCCTCGACTTACGACTAGTTGGGGGTCGCAGCATTAAAAAGGTTGAGAACCACTGCACTATGTTGACTTTTTGGGACCGTCAGCAAGCTTTGAGTGGGTGAATTTCAGCTTCTAGAATTCCCCAGCCGGCCAGGAAGGATGATGCTATCTAGTTTGAGAGCACCATGGACCCCACAGTCATCATTGTTGTCGTCGTCCTCCTCCCCCTCCTCCTCCTCCCCCCTCCCTTCCAGCACTGATGATGTTCCCTAGGTGGGTCACGAAAGGTCTGCAAGGAACCCCCCCCCAAACTCAGAGAGCACCCAGGACCCCACAGTTTCCCAACCCCAGCTGATCCTCGCACAATTCGCACACTGCCAGCTACAGGACCCCCGCCTGCCCTGTTGCTCCTGGGAATCCCCCTTCAACCTGTCCCTCTCTCCCCCCCCCAACAGGATGAAGACGAGCAAGAGAGATTTGACCGGATGCAACAGGAAGTGCTGCCTTTCTGCCCGGCTTCCGTTTCCTTCTATAACGCCAAAGCGAAGGTGGACCGCAAGGTAAACCACCCAGGGGGGCCCCCAGGATGGCCCCTTGTCCGAAGGGTCCTACAGGTAGTCAACTTACGACCACAGTTGAGCCCAAGTTTCTGTTGCTAAGTGAGACAATTATTAAGTGAATTTTGCCCTGTTTTACAACCTTTCTTGTTCCAATTGTTAAGTGAGTCACCGTTTATTTATTTATTTATTTATGAGACTTATATACCACTTGAAGTGCAAGCACTCTCTAAGCGGTGTACACCAGTAAGCAATGTATATATATATATATATTTACATTGCCCCCAACAATCTGGGTCCTCATTTTACCTACCCCGGAAGGATGGAAGGCTGAGTCAACCTTGAGCCGGTGAGATTTGAACCCCTGACCTGCTGAACACAGTCAGCTAAATTGGCCTGCAGTACTGCACTCTAACTGCTGCGCCACCTCGGCTCTTTGCTGAGTAAATCCGGCTTCCCCCATTAACTGCTTATCAGAAGGTCACCAAAGGGGATCGAGTGATCCCAGGACACTGCAACCGTCATAAACACGGGTCAGTGGCCAGACAGCTGAATTTCGATCACGTGACCACGGGGGTGCTGCGACGGCCGTCAAGGGTGAAAAACGGCCCTGAGTCCTTTTATCTCAAGTGCCCAAACGGTCACTAAACAAACGGTCGTAAGCCGAGGACTACCCATCATATAAACACCCCATCTCTCTCTCTCTCTCATTTCTTCTTGCGAAAGCACAAGTATTCTCGGGCCATGACCGCCTTCGAGCAAATGAGGAAGAAGCCGGGATCCGTTCAAGCCGCGGTGAAGAACAAGCCTCCATCCCTCCTGGACATTGTGTAGCCGAAACGAGAACCATGCCGGCCTCGTTCCTTACAAGAAGAGAGTAAAACACTCAACGGCTGTGCAAGTCACAACTTTATTTTTATTTTTTTGCCTGTAAATGTTCAGAATTAGCCGTATAATAAATCTTTTGAGGATTTCTACGTACTCATAAACACACCAGGGGCCCCAACTGGCTTCACCCAAGTAGTATTAACAGGGGTGTAGTAGTGATTAATTGAATTTGCGAAACAACACCCATCTGGGGAAGTTGCCAACACTTTGGAGGTGAGACTTCAAATTTCAGGAGCAGCTCAACAGACTTGAACCCTGGGACACGTTCAGTAAAATGCACTTCAGTGTTGAGAAAAGTGAGGTTTTTACACTTAGGCAATGTGGAGCTCTAGAATCGGAGGTGCCTGACTCAATATAGGCAGTCCTTGACTTATGACAGTCCATTTACTGACCATTCAAAGTTGCAACAGCGCTGAAAAAAAATGTGACTTAGGGCCGTTTTTCACCCTTAATGACCGTTGCAGTACTCCCCATGGCCACGTGGTCAAAATTCAGATTCTTGGCGACTTATATTTACGACGGTCACACGATCCCCTTTGGCGACTTTCTGACCAGCAAAGTCCAGGGGGGAAACCGGGTTGACTTAACGACCGTGCGACTAACTTCAACAACTGCAGTGATTCGCTTAACAATGGGTGGTGAGAAGGGTCGTAAAATGGGGCAAAACTCACTTAAAGAATGTTTCACTGAGCAATGGAAATGTTGGACTCAGTTATGGTCCTAAGTCGAGGACTACCTGTCTCAGGAGCTATGTGGGAGAGGAAATACCTGCAAAAACGTCTTTTATTTTTTATAGAGCTAAATGATAATAAGGATTTGTGGCTGGTGTAACGCCCAGAGCGATTTTACATTACAGTAAGAAAGTCAAATCTTGTAAGCCGCCTGGAACAATTTTATGCAGGTGGTCCTCGACTTAATGGCCGTTCATTCAGTGACCGTCCAAAGTTAACAATGGCATTGAACAAAGCCCCGTGCCCCTATTTTTGGCCCTTATTGAGAATGATCAAATGACCAGAAGTCAAGAGGCTAGTCAGCCGAGTCAGACGGGCATAGGGTCCCGCTGTCAGATGATTGCAACATCCCCATGGCCCCATGAGCAAAATTTGGATGCATATAGAAGTAGTCCTCGACTTATAACAGATCATTTAGTGACCAAAGTGACAACGGCAGTGAAAAAAATCACTTCTGAGCGTTTTTCACTCTTATGGACTGTTGCAGCATCCCCCGTGATTCCTTGATCAAAACTCAGATGTTTGCCAGCTGGCATACAGAGGTAGTCCTTGACTTATAACAGTTCATTTAGCAACCGTTCGAAGTTACAAACAACACTGAAGAAGGGGACTTATGGCTGCTTTTCACCCTTGCAGCATCCCCTGTGCTCAGCTGATCAAAATTCAAACACATGGAAACTGACTCGTACTTAAGACGGTTGCAGTGTTCCGGGGTCACGTGATCTCCTTTTGCGAGCAAAGTCAATGGGGGAAGCCCAGATTCACTTAATGACTGTCTTACTAACCTAACAATTGCAGTGATTCACTTAACAGGGATTCGCTTAACAGCTGTGGTGAGAAAGGTTGTAAAACCGGGCAAAATTCACATAACAACATAAATGTTGAGCTCAATTGTGGTTATAAGTCGAGAAATACATGTACTAGCAACAGTGAGAGGGACCTCGGAGTCCTAGTAGACAATCACTTAAATATGAGCCAGCAGCTGCCAAAAAGGCCAACGCAGTGCTGGGCTGCATTAACAGAGGGATAGAATCAAGATCACGTGAAGTATTAATGCCACTTTACAAGGCCACACTTAGAATACTGCATCCAGTTTTGGTCACCACGATATAAAAAAGGTGTTGAGACTCTAGAAAGAGTGCAGAGAAGAGCAACAAAGATGATTAGGGGATTGGAGGCTAAACCATATAAGGAACAGCTGCTGGAATTGGGTATGTCTAGTTTAATGAAGAGAAGGACGAGGGGGGACAGGATAGCAGTCTTCCAGTATCTCAGGGGCTGCCCCAAAGAAGAGGGAGTCAAGCTATTCCCCAAAGTGCCTGAAGGCAGGACAAGAAGCAAGAAGGATGGGAAGTAACCAAGGAGGGGTCAGCCTAGGCCAGAGGTAGGCCACCTTGGCTCTTTTATGACTTATGGACTTCAACTCCCAGAATTCCTAAGCCAGCCATGCTGAGGGGAAAGAAAGAGGTTTCCAAGCTGAGCCAGGCTGGCTCAGGAATTCTGGGAGTTGAAGTCCACCAGTCATAAAAGAGCCAAGGTGGCCTAGCCCTGGCCTAGAACTAGGCCGCTTTATGACTTATGGACTTCAACTCCCAGAATTCCTGAGCCAGCAAGGGGGAACTATGGCTCCCCTCATGACTTGTGGACTTCAACTCCCAGAATTCCTGAGCCAGCATGGCTCAGCTTGGCAATCTCTCCCTTTCCCCTCAGCATGGCTGGCTCAGGAATTCTGGGAGTTGAAGTCCACCAGTCATAAAAGAGCCAAGGTGGCCTAGCCCTGGCCTAGAACTAAGGAGAGATTTCCTGACGGTAAGAATAATTAGCCAGTGGAACTGCTTTCCTCCAGAAGTTGTGAATGCTCCAACACTGGAGGTCTTTAAGAATTCAGGCACTTGGCAACTGGGATGCATTCATGATGGGTGCTGTGTCCTCAGGGACATGTGATCTCCATTTGCCACCGTCCCAGCTGGCTTCCAAAAAGCAGTCAAGGGCGGGGGAGCCAGATTCACTTCACGACCACCTGAATCGCTTAACAAGTGCAGCGGTTCACTTTGCACAGGTGTCGAAAGAAATGTCATAAAATCAGGAATGAGGACCCACATTGTTGGGGAGGAATAGGCTGACACTGTAAACTGCTTAGAGAAGGTTGTGAAGCGGTGTATAAGTGCTGTTGCTATCTTGCTTTACAATGGAAATTGAGTTCCCTACGGTGGCCGTAATTCGAGAACTTCCACTATTAAGAAGCTTAGGCGGGACCTTTCACGCCGAAATCTTTTCCAAATAAACTATGATTGAAGCTCTTTTATTATGATTTTATGAAAGCCCTAGTAACCTTTCTGGATGAATTTGATATTCCTTTCAATTTTCTCATTTTTTTTCTCTTCAAAATAAAACTGAAAAATAGCATTTCGGTTCCCAGCTCTGCGCTCAGGGTTACTTCCTAAATTCTGCCCTGGAGGCCTTACCCTTCATTCCTGGCTTATCAGCAGAAGCCTCCTTTCCCACACTGGAAAGAGAGAAAAGAATTCACAGGGTCTTCCTTTGAGCACCGCAAAGGCTGAGATTCATCTGGACAACACTAGAGATTAAAGAAGCAAAAACAGGTCTGGAAGAAAAAACAAAACAGAGGTCCCTAGACAGAGGGCAAGAGATAAAAAGCTCCGGGGAATGAAGATAACAAAAAGGAGAGATAAGGTGGGTCAGCTTTGAAAAAGACCACAGGGCAACATTACACAACCCTGTGCAAAGCAACAGCAGAAAATGTGAGGTGCTTAACTAGGATTAGGAGAAATTCAGGTCAAAAGTGAGGCTGAGTTAGAGGCCACGGGAAGCCTTCCCCCCCCCCCTCAGGATCTGAAGCTTTTGGAAACTCCAGGGTGGGGCAGATATTTCTCTGAAATATTTCAGATGCCTCTCGATGGGGGGGATGATGTTCTTCAGGCTCTCTGTTGCTTGAAATTTACAGAGTCAAGTGGGCACTGAATAAAGGAGCCCACCAGTGGAGTACGTGTAACTCAGGGTTGAACTGTGGGGTCCCTGGTGCTCTCCGAGCTGGGTGGTTTCCTTGCAGACGTTTCAACTAGGGAACATCATCAGTGCTAGAAGGGAGTGAGGTGTGTGGAGGAGGAGGAAGAGGAGGAGGAGGAGGAGGAGGAGGAGGAGGAGGAGGAGGAAGTCTGAAATCCTTGGTGCTCTCTGAGCTTGGCTTTTTTCTTGCAGACGTTTCACGACCCGACTAGGTAATATCATCAGTGCTATGATGGACACATGATCAAAATCCGAAAGCTTAGCAATTCATTTAGTGACCATTCAAAGTTACAACAGTACTTGAAAAAAGTTCCTGATTTCTGTTTTTCACACTTAATGAATGTTGCAGCCTCCCCAGGGCCACGTGATCAAAAGTCAGATTCTCAGCAACTGGCTCATTTTTACGACGGTCACCGTGTCCCGGGGTCACGTAACCGTCCTTTGATGACCTTCTGACCAGCGAAGTCAGTGGGAAAGACAGGTTCACTTCACAATTGTCCAACTTAAAAAACTGCTGTGATTCACTTAGCAACTATGGCAAGAAAAGTCATAAAATGGGACAAAACTCATTTAACAACTGACTTGCCTAGCAACAGAAATTTTGGGCTCCACTTTGGTCGTAAGTCAAGGACTACCTATCAGTAAAAGAAACCCCAGAAGCTAATAGCCACTTGAGTCACTTTTCGGCTTTAGGGAGACACCTTGTGGTGACACCAACTGCAACAGGATCACAACAATTTTCTGTTTGTATACAAGAGGTTTGCACTGTCAGTATTGGTGGGGAAGACCCTTCCTTCCTTCCTTCCTATTTCTTTTCCTTTCTTCTTCCTTTTTTCCTTCCTATTTCTTTTCCTTTCTTCTTCCTTTTTTCCTTCCCTCTTCCTTCCTTCCTTCCTTCCTTCCTATTTCTTTTCCTTTCTTCCTTTTTTCCTTCCTTCCTTCCTTCTTCTTTTCCTTTCTTCTTCCTTTTTTCCTTCCTTCTTCCTTCCTTCCTCCCTTCTACCTTTCTTCTTCCTCCCTTCTTCCTTTCTTTTCCTTCCTTCCCCTGTTCTCCTATTTCCTATTTGGTAATGAAATGTTTACAAGGAAACTGCCAGGCACAAGGAGCACCAAAGACTTCCACAGCCCATCCATCCATCTCCTCCTTCTCCTCTTCCTTTTCCTCCTCTTCCTTCTCCTCCTCCTCTTCCTTTTCCTTCTCCTCTTCCTCCTCCTCCTCTTCCTCCTCCTCTTCCTTTTCCTTCTCCTCTTCCTTCTCCTCCTTCTCTTTCTTCTCCTCTTCCTCTTCTTCCTCCTCTTCCTCTTCCTTTTCCTCCTCCTCCTCCTC